TAGCTACTCAAAGAAACAAAATATCAGAATTCACATAACATAGAGAAATCGAAATCATCACACTTGTAGAAACTGAAAATCCATTCAAACTTGTTTATAGAATTGAAATCATGTTTAGGGCTTCAAGATTAAGCCCTAACTAACAAGAAATTAGTTACTCATGTTCTTGGATGAACTCAAAAATAAATACATAAGAACTGAAAAGTAAAAGAAGGAAGGAAAAGAAAGAACTCGTTGGTAGCTTTCTCCTTTTGCTATATGTGGTTATAAAAGGCCTTTCTTTTCCTTGGCTGGCCTTTTATATCACTTATATTAGAGTTTTAAAGCCTAAAATTGATTGACAAGTCGTCCAAGAAGTCTTGGTAAACAAGGAATCCAAATAGGAAAGTAAAAATCACAATTCCTAACTCCATAGGGAAATACAGCTAAGCCCAATTGTCACATGATTTGGGGATCTTCGGCCTTGTAGAAAAATCATTAAAAATATATTTTAGAAAGACAAATGTCTTATCTTTCCAACCACATATAGCACGTAACTTGAAAAATTCGGGAAGGCTTCCGTTTCTTCACATTCATGTAACATGTACGAAACTGTCCTATCTGCACGTGGGCTAACTTTACTTGTAATACTGTACTAATTGGCTTGGTAGAAAATTCGAGAAAAATCACATATTGAACTTCAAGATGTTAGCTTTCATCTCCAATTGGCCTTGCGCTAAAATTCCTCAGAAAAGTTGATTTTTCCTTAAGTAACTTTAGTTTGCGGCTGCACCCGGGTGGGACCCCAAACTACCTACGTACCCTTACTGAAGGATCAAGCCACACGTAGTTTTTCCTCTTTTATATTGCCCTTGTATCTCATGTCAATTGTTATTCTTCATTGTGATTACAAATCAATCCAAGTTCACATGTTAGTGGCATGCTCACCATCACTTACAAACTCCATAGTACATACTTTTCAACTTCCCAATTCTCAGAATAGTTCATACTCAGAACATAAGTAGGCCACTTATTGAACTTCCTCTAATTCCATAAATCAATTTGTATACTGTTGGCATGAAATATATATTAACAATAACAACAAAATGAAATAATAAAATAAAAATAAAACCAACAAGTTCCGAAGACGCTTTTATTCTTTCCTTCGAAACTTACATAAGGCTCATTACATAAATATATATATCAATAACTTAACTGGAATGTTTATATTTTCCTCTTTTACTTGTCAAACGAACTCATCTCTAAAGAAACGGAAGCCTAAATAAATGTGAACTGTATAAAATCTTTAAAATTTAGGAAATTCTCCATACTTGTCTCTTAATCATAAAATAAGTATTAAACTTTTACTCCAAAAATACCAAGATAAGATCATCAATATTATTCCGTCAATTCCATCATCGCTGGCCTCAGAAACACAAAGTTAACCTAGCTGCATTCCTCGTAGGCCTCAGAGACACCAAGGCAACTCGAGCCGCAATCCTCGTAGGCCTCGGAGACATCAAGTCAACTCTAGCCGCAATCCTTGCACCACACGATTCAGGCATCCCCGAAACTCGTGGGGCATTATCAAAAATAACATTTAGGCATACCATCACATACTATAATACACTTCCAAATACAAAATAATATAGATATACATAATTTAGCGATCTATATATATATATATATATATAGACATACATACTCATCCCGTAATAGATTGCATGGTAATTTAATCCATGAGATTAATGCCATTACTAACCAATGAACACTCACACAAACATAAATTTTCTAAAGATCTGAAACAATTCAAATAGACTTCAATACTTGTTTCCACATGAATTCCATAACATGCTGTAACCCTCAATTAAAACATTATATTTCCATACCTAACCCAATCCATATACTATATTTATAATCATAATAATATCATTTAATGGAAAGTAATAACCTTTAAAGAAAATCCCATAACTTCGATTATCAATATGATATCCCAGAATTTCCATAAGCTGATTGCCTGACATTGCTCTCTTCTGACTTAAGTCATTCATCCTGAAAAGCTGGTTGACCTCTTTCCATGGCAAAGCGTGGATTCTGGCCAGAACTTCCAATATTCATACACTAAAAGATGTGTTTTTAGAAGTATGTATACTGTGAGGTCCCACTGGGCGTGCCAAATTGTTTACATGTTTTGATGTAGTTCCTGTGGTGGTAGGGTAAAGTTCCTCATTGCCCGAAAACCATTGATGGTCAACAAATCAACTTTTATTTATTTATAAGCAAGTGTGTCATTGTTAATGGTTAAAAATCCTAACAGACTATGAAATGTAATAACTTGCACTCCAAGCTATTGAATTTGATCAAATGATTGTGAATTTGGGTGAGGAATATCTCTCAAGTAAGTTCTTTTCTTGCCTTAGACAGGTGAGGACTTTATAATTCCCATAGTAAAACTAGTAAGTCTAACCAAAATAAGTGTCTAAAAATAAAACAAACTATTTCAGAGAGAATTGCCTATTACGCAATTAAACAAAAGAGACTGCCAAGTCCGGAAGGACTTTAGAACATTGGGCTTCAATTTCTACTTAGATTGTTGTTTGTGACTCAAGCTGGACTAGATGTATATGTACTAAAATTGCATCTCAACTAATGGGGATCAGTTGGAAATCTATACCAATGTTGAGATTGGCAGAGCTATAATTAATTTGAGCCATGGTGAGGCTTATTGAGTGGGCAGAACTGGGATCTCTCTAGTCTGGACTGGATTGGAAGTGGCTAGATTAGCAATTGCTAACCTGGAATCGTACTTAGTGCCTATTCTGCTTGGCTAAGGGTCGCCTGAGAGCTATTCTGGCTATTTTGGGACATCAAGGTGTCTCTGGAAATTTGTTGAGGTTTTATATTATGAAAAAACCTGAACTCCACTGGATTCATCTATTCTAAACCAAATTTATAACGAGAGAAATCTCGTTTTCTTTGTGAATTGCTCCTTTAAACTGAATTGAAGTAAAAAAAATCTGAGTTTTGCCTGCTTCGTTGGAAGCTGGGTGGCTTTTGCAAACCAGACAACTTAATTGCTTATGAGTTTGAAGAGTTTTGAGATCGTCTGATCTTGTTTTGTTTTTGTCAGTATGATTGAGAGTTTTTGTCTTGATTGGAATTTTTTTTGGTTGTCCTTGATCCAATTCACATTCTCTTATATTTATAGAAAATCTGCATGAGTAGTAGTTATTCTGACAAGAAAAACCCACATCAAGAGTCAGTTTATGATGATCAATTTTGACATTTTGACAACCAATTTTCCTACTTCTTGTCCATCCCTTGCAAATTGAAATTATACTAACGAGATCCTCATCTCACGAGTATGGGAAGGAAACTCAGCCTGTTTTTCTGGCATTTAATGGTTATGGGAGTGGTTTTTGATTTCACCTTTCTACCAACTCCCCTGAATGTCCTCTGTCCGTTTCCTGTTAACGTCTTGTCATTGGAATCACATGGGTATTGCGGAGAGAGACTCCTTTTTAGATCTTAGAATTGCTGATCTAGCTTTGAATTGGTAATCAACGGTGATGATCAAACCTTGAACCCTTGAAAATATAATCTAAAAGCTGGGTAGGAATTAAACCAATTAAATATGGTCTTTTTAGATTAAATCACCATTTGATGGTAATTAACTTTTATCTTGTGAAGATTAATTTATGTAATTGGTTTCATTCCATTTTCCTTCTTTTGAAATTACTTTGGCCTTTGAAATGTCCTGGGCTGACTTCCAATTTTGGGGAAAATAGAGCCCAAACCTGTGTCGTCAATATAGCCCAATAGGTAGATGGGCCGGTGAGCAGAAATTAGACCTAAACAAATACTTAATTATAATGTTTTTTTTTTTATGCATTCACGCTTGATCGGAAACTCAGCATTTGGCCCCTTCATAGTTATGCCTCTTTTACTACAATTTAGGGTTGTTTTGGGTGGGGCTGCAACTACTTTGCTAGGGAAGATGGGTTCAAAATGGTGGGAACTAAAGCAAACATAAAAAGACCCATTTATCACTAAATTTAAGGAAATTATAATAGAACAACATGACTTCTATTGTTAATGAAATTGGAGTTTAAGGACCACCACAACTATTTTGGAAGTAAAAGGATCAAAATGCCAATCAAGGACTACTGCACCTAAAAATTCAAAATTCAAAATTAAAAAAAAAGGAAAATATGAGATGATATCTTTGTATAAAATGTAGGTGGGACTCAAGATTCCTGCTCCCATAGAGCATCTCCAACCGATATGTCAAATTGACACATAGACATAAAATGACAAAAATTGAAGGTTAAAGTTACTTCAATAAGGCCGGAAGAGATATATGAAAAAGCTTGATATCAAATATTATTTTAATATTTTTTTAATTATGGACCCCATTATCATTTACTTTCTTTAAAAACTTTATGCCCATTTGTTTTTAAAAATATAATAAAATAATATGATATTTGGCATTTTGGGTGGAGTTAAATTTTTTTTTCCCTAAAGTGTCAAATTGCCACATAAGCCATCAAATTTAAATTTAACTTTTTTGCATTTGACATCTCCCTTATTAGAGCATCTCCAACCGATATATCAAATTTCCACATGGACATGAAATGACAAAAATTGAAGGTTAAAGTTACTCCAACCGAATAGTCAAATCCTGCGTGGATTTGAATGTTGGAAGAGATATGTAAAAAATAACATATAAAAAAACTTGATGTCAAATATTTTTTAGTCATAGACATCACTATCATTTACTCTCTTTTAAACTTTACTCATTATATGAGCCCCATTTGCTTTTAAAAATATATTAAAACAATATAATATTTGGCATTTCAGGTAGAGTTCAATTTTTTCCAAAATATAAAATTGCAACATAAACTATCAAATTCAAATTTAACATTTTGCATTTGAATGAAAATACTCATATGTCAAGGTAAATTCCTTCGCTATAAGGATTTTATAATACCTTTTTTTATCCACCCTTGCAATTTTGTACCATGGAGTCCAGGAAGGTGAACGGGACTGGCTGTAAAGGAGTCAAATTGAATGAGACAAAGGTGATTGCTGGTCCGTTTTAAAATAAAATAAATAAAAGGTGATTGCTGGTGTCTCGAATCCGTATCCATTGACTTCACTATAGACCTGAATTGTGTTTAGAGACGCTCTGCTTCTCTGGTGGAACTTCAGCCTGTAGCTCCTTCTCACTTCTTCAGCTGCGAGTTCTTGCTTTTCACATACACCCAGGTCAGGCTCCAACTACTAATTTCTCTAACACCATCTCATGATTTCTTCCCATTTTGTATTTTTCGATTGTGATATAATTTTCTTTCTCTTAGTCATGTTGTTGCTGATGATGTTGTTTGGCTTAAAAAATTGGCAAATGCTGAAGGGAATTACAAAAGTTGTACTTTTGAATACTTGATATGTATTTTAATATTGAGGCAAAATAAAAGAGTAGTCAGCTCCATTTATGATACCTCTGTAGTCGCAGATTTGATGTTTTTGTTGGACTTGAGGGTTTCCAGGATCCTCAAGTGAATTGGGGGAGGCTTGGTAGGCAATGGTCTAATTCTGCTGTTTCTGAGAGGGGGATGAGGGGGGAAGGAAAACATTAAAGATTAAAAATTTGGTTCTTTAGTTTTTTTTTATACAAGCCATATTGGAAGAGGGGATTTGAACACAGGACCTCGGGTACAGGATAACTGCTCTTAATCATCAAATGGGTATTTTAAATGTCGAAAACTATCAGACGTTTGATTAAATTTGATGGCTGGTAACAAACTTGGAGCTGTCAGTCGCTCAAACTCAGTCCCTCCGGTGAGCAGCTCTGAATAAAATATTAGACAGGTCAATTTATGGTTCCTCTGTATAGTATAGTAAGTCATTTTGCAGGTGAGTTCAAATAAGTGACCGAAAAAAATGAAAAAGTAGATCAGCAATAGAAAAATGTATTTATCTTCTACCAAATTGCTTAATTGCCTGCACTGTCTCCTCTCTCCAGCAGGTTGCTTTGTGAAATTAATCTCATCTCCATTCTCCTGTAAGTTGGCACGAACAAGAAACCAGTCTGAAATGGCATCAAGCACGCAAAGAGACAGCTCATCTCTGTCTCCACCGTCTCGATGGAAATATGATGTCTTTTTGAGTTTTAGAGGTGAAACACGCAAGACCTTTACAGCCCATTTACATAAAGAACTGCTGGATCAAGGAATTACAGAGACATTCTTGGATGAAACAGAACTTCAAGAAGGAAAACCAATTTCTGAAGTCTTCTCAGCAATTGCACAGTCAAGATTTGCCATTCTTGTGATCTCTCAAGATTATGCTTCTTCAACCTGGTGCCTAAATGAACTTTTAAAGATTTTTGAATGCATGGAAGGGAGGGGCGCAATTCTACCAATTTTCTATTCTGTGGAACCCTCCGATGTTGGAAAACAATTAGGGAGTTTTGAACAAGCCTTCACTAAACTTGAAGAAAGGTTTAAGCATGACATCAACAAGGTGAAGAGCTGGAGAGATGCTTTAGGGACAGTGGCTAAAATCAAAGGGTGGACTACAAAGGATAGGTTAGCATTACTTCTTTTTCCCCTCGACTCAAAAGCTCTCCTAAATGAATAGATGACCATTGTTTTTACTTATTGGAGCACATATAATAATTGTGAATTTATATTTTATATATCACCTTTGTAGGATAGAAAGTGACTTATAATTCCGTTCTATTTGATATAATTTTGTAGTGAGTACATTTAATTTGCCTGGACCTGATGCATGAAAATCTTACAGAAAAATATTTTATGATAACATTCCTATTACCCATTCATAAAAAGAATTTATATGGGGAGGCTAAGTTTATTTTATGATAAACTAAAAAATACACTATATTGTTTTTCATTGCTGCAGAAGAGGATTGGAACTTGGGAACATTGGGAAGAGAAATTGTTACTCTATCCAATGCTATTTGATCATCTATACACTTTTTAAATCATTTTTATCACGTATTGATGAAGTTTCTTTGGCTTAATCCAAAATATGCATTGTAACAGTGAGGAGTTCTTAATTCGAATTCAGATGCTTTCGTAACAGAGGGAAATAGTTTTGAAATTTTTTTTGGGTAGCTTTCTATTTCTATCATATTTTAGGTCCACAGTGAGGAGTTCTTAATTCGAAGTCAGCTGCTTTCTTGACAGAGTTAATGATATTATGGACAACAACTTATTACACTAACTTTTGATGATAACTGATGTGAAAGTGATTCAGTTGTTTTCATTCTGCGTCTTCTATGAACTTTTTATTCATAGCAAGTAAAAATTTTCATATCCATTGGTATCTCAAAGTTGGTGTTTTTTTTAGGATTATTGTTCCATTAATAAGGTGTTCTTAGTTTTTGAGTTGAATGGCTGTGATGCAATGGGTTAGCCCTGAGTCCAATCCAAAACTTCTTATAAAACGCAGGCAGAGCTACCACTCGGCTACTAGAGGTGGTGGCAAAAACACAAAATGCAAAGTGTATTTTTATCGCTTTTTTGTCTATTTATGACTCATATTAGTTCAGCCATGCATGACCTTGATTATTGTCTTTTCCTCTTGAAGATATGAACCACAGCTCATCAGAGAAATTGTTGACAAGGTGCGCACCGTAGTACGTCCTACATGGTTGGAGCCTGAAGAAAAGCTGGTTGGAATTCATTCAACATTGGAGCATCTACGTAGGCTTCTAGATAGAGACACGGAGTTGGTTCGTTTTATAGGGATATGGGGGTTGAGTGGGATAGGTAAGACAACCATTGCTGAGAGAACTTATGCGAGGATTCTTCATAAATTTGAACGCAGCTGCTTTCTTGACAGAGTTAGAGATAAGATTTCTCAAACAGATGGTCTAAAAAATCTAAAAAGAGAACTTTGCAAGAGCCTTATGAAAAGAAATCTAGAAGACTGGGACTTTGATATAAAAGGCACAATCAAAGGGCTCTTATCTCGCAAAAAAGTTCTTCTCGTTCTTGATGATGTCGACGATAATATTCAATTAGAAGACTTATGTGGGAACCAAGATGGGTTTGCTCCAGGGAGCAGAGTCATTATTACAGCAAGAAGTGAACGATTGCTAAGTAGACATGGTGTGGATGGAAAATTTGAGGTGCATAAGTTAAATGACCAAGACGCTCTTCAACTTTTTAGCTTGAAAGCCTTTGGAAGAGATTATCCAGATAAGCCCTATGTAGCTATGTCTAAATGTTTTGTGAGTTATGCCAATGGCCTCCCATTAGCTCTTAAACTCTTGGGATCATCTTTGCATAAAGCAGATCAAGATGAATGGGGAAGAAAGTTTGGTAAACTGAAAAATAATTTTGATGGAAAAATTATGGATAGGCTTAAAATAAGTTTTGATGGATTAGATGAAGAGGAGAAAAGTATTTTCCTTGATATCGCATGCTTCTTTATGGGAAAGTACAAAGATGAAGTAGTTGAAAGACTATGCGGCTTTCGTTCCAGCATAGACAATGCTATAAAAGTTCTCATTGGGTGGTCTCTGCTAACAGTTTCAGATAATATGGTGTGGATGCATAATTTGTTACAAGAAATGGGTAGAGCAATTGTTCGTGGAGAGTCAAAAGAACCAGGTGAACGTAGCAGGTTGTGGCTTTCAAAGGACATCTTTTATGTTTTGAGAAATAATACGGTAAGAGCTTACATGGATGCATCGGTAACACATGAATCTAGCAAAATCAACAGATTATAAAGCAGACTTTTAAGTTTACTTGCCTTACTTTCCATATAACGTGCACATCAGTTACCCTTTATGATGTTTTGCAATTGACTTGTTCTTTATTCTTGGTTATTAGGGGACATCAGCAGTTGAAGGCATTGTCCTAGATCATCGTGAATCAGAAGTGTGTAAATGCCATCGAGAAGCCTTTTCAAAGATGTTTAATCTTAAATTTCTCAAACTTCATAATGTGTACCTTGATGAAGGTCTCGCATGTCTTCCTAACTCCTTACAATTTCTTGAATGGAAAGGTTATCCTCTAGCTTCTCTCCCCATAGATTTCAAACCGGATAAGCTTGTTGAACTCAGCATGTGTCATAGTAAGATTGAACAGCTTTGGAGTGGAATAAAGGTACAAGTCTACAACTGCAACATATAATCTATTTATCAGAGTAAAATGTAAGCTTCTCCTGAATCTAATTATTATCACTTTCTTGTAACTCTAACAGGATTTTGACAAGTTGAAAGTCATCAAACTTAGTCATTCAAAAAGTTTGACAAGCACTCCTGATTTCAAAGAGGTCCAAAATCTTGAGAGACTAGATCTTGAGGGATGTGAAAGTCTAGTTGAGATCCACTCATCCATACGAGTTCTCAAAAAGCTAATCTTCTTGAATCTTAAAGACTGCAAAAGTCTTGAGAGTCTGCCAGGTGAGATTGCAATGGAATGCCTGGAAATTCTAATCCTTTCTGGTTGCTCAAATGTTAAAAGGATTCCTAAATTTGTGGGACATATGGAGAATTTGTGGAAGATTTCTTTAGACGAGACAGCTATTGAAGATATACCTTCATCGATTCAAGGTCTGACGAAACTTTCTGTTCTTGATATTAGAGATTGTGTAAATCTGACTCAACTTCCAAGTACCGTTGGCAATTTGAAGTTTCTTAAAAGTCTTAATGCTTCTGGATGCACACAACTGGCAGAACTGCCTGCAAGCTTTCAGGAACTAGTGTCTTTGGAGAAGCTTGATTTAAGTGGAACTGCCATAGAAAAATGGCCCTTTTCCGTTTTACATTTGAAAAAGCTGAAATCATTTATTTTCCGCGGACCAAAAGGGCGATCACCACAGCAATGGCATGTGTCACTCCCTTTTGGATGGTTGAAGTGTCTTCAACCTATGAGTCAGTTCCTGCCTCCTTTGTCAGGGTTATGTTCTTTAAGGGAGTTAGATCTAAGTGATCACAATCTTCGGGATGGAACAATCCTTGCTGATATTGGTTGCTTATCTTCTTTGGTTTCATTGGACTTGAGTGGAAATGATTTTGTTAGCCTTCCTGAAAGAATTAGCGAGCTTTCTCAGCTTGAGAACTTATATTTGAGTGGTTGCCGGAGTCTTAAATACCTTCCAGTCCTTTCATCAAGTAAAAGTTTACAAGTGACTGCCGATTGTTGCACTTCACTAGAAAGGCTGCAACATCCATTGAATTTGGATACATTAAGTTCGTCATGTTTCAATTTGATGAATTGCTCTGGATTGTTTAAGAATGAAAACCATGATTATAAAACATTGACTATGCTCCGAAAATATCTTGAGGTGCTCTCTCTCTCTCTCTCTCTCTCTCTCTCTCAATCATTCGTTTGTTCATTCATTCTCTAACATGACGTTTTCTCTTGTATAGAGAATCTCATATCCGGGAGATAGGTTTGAAATTGTAATTCCTGGAAGTAAAATTCCATGGTGGTTCAGTCGTCAAAGAGTGGGATCTTCGGTAAGCATACAGGTGACTCCGAAATGGTGTGATAACAAGTGGATGGGATATGCTCTTTGCGCTGTTTTTGAAGTTTTCCATAGTGGATGGGAGCTCTCTTGTGTTTTGGAAGTCAATGGACAAAAAGAGTACCCTGCACCTGTATTATTAACTGATGTCCAGCCCGTGTCGGATCATCTTTGGCTATTCTATGTTTCTCGTGATATAAGCTTTGGTACAGAGTGGCAAAAGAGTTGTGATCAGTTAACATTTTCATTTGAAAGCTCAGGCCACATCAGGGTCAAGAAGTGCGGTGCCCGTTTGATTTACGAAAAGGACGTGGAAGAGTTCAACAAAGTAGTGGCACAATCCAGCAGCAATGTTGGGGAAGGATCCAGTGGGACTCGTAGATTTGATGAGGAACCACAGCTCAAAAGATTCAAGAAAACATGAATTTTCTTCACATACTCGTAATTGCACCAGCAAGTTCACCCTTGCGGTGTAACAACCGTTACCCTAGTGGTGTAGTAGTTGGTCCATAATTCATATTTCAGATTCAGGGATATTTGTGGATTTTAGGAGTTGTTTATTAATTAGTAAAACTTTGGGGAACTGTTTGCGATATCTCTCTTGTACAGTTTGAGAAATTGCTAGGGAACAGAGTCTACTCCATCAACTTGACACCTCCTGTTTGTGTATATTAATTAGTACATAATTGTTTTTGAGTGCTGTTAAGTGAATCTTAAAATTTTTTTTTTTGATTGGAAAGACTTCATTCAATTAATCAACATGACAAAGGAGTGTCGGCATGGGTAGTATGGCCTCATTAAAACCTCCCTAAAGAAAACCCGATGGGAAAAACTTCAGGGGAGGAAAAAGAGTGCCACATATGCCCGATTACACATGAAGATATTAATTGAGCACATCCTACTACTAAACTGTTTATTGAATTACTAATTTACCCTAACATAGAATGACCAAAAATGATATATTGAGTTGTGAAACAAATATAATTTTAATCCCTACTCACCATATTCAACTCTAATCAAGCATTTCCAATATATTTGCAAGGTTAATTGCATTTCCATTATTATTTTTATGTTACTTGCATTTCCAATATATTTTAAATATTTCTTGCATTTTCAATTTTTTTTGTTCATAGATTATACAAGCACAGATGTGGTTTGGTGCAATTGGGTAAGGCAAAAAAACTTTACACCATCATGAATGTTGGGAGGTGGTGAAAAATTGCAAACGCTTCAGAATTATTCCCACGGGTCCCCCCGTTATGTTAAACGAGATGCCACTCCATGATTCAACGACATCGGATTCACCTCGAGATTCCCCTATGAGTCAAGACTCACCCATTGAAAAGGAGTCGAGGCCCATTGGCCGAAGACTGCGAAGGCGAAGAAAGGGAGTAATTCTAGCACTAATATATCAAAAAATTTGGAGGAAATTGCAAGGTAGGCTGCCATGAGAATTGAAATGGAGAAGAAACACCAAGAGAATGAGATGGCAATTCGACCAGAATATTTACAAGAAAGGGATTATTTGCGCAAACAACACATTGAGAAGACGGATTGGGAAACCATGGCCATGGATACAAGCCATATGTCCCTGAAACAAAACAATTTTGGAAGCTAGAATGAAGGGATGTTATGAGAAGAAGACTTTTCCGTGACGATGGACCTAGCAACACGGATTGGTTAAATGATCAAAACCATTTAATTAGTTGGCATACCTTTTATTTATTTGTATTTTCATGTTTTGTATTTTTATTTGTTGTAATTCATGTATTTTATTTTAGTAGTAGTAATTCTTTATTTTAGTAGTTGTATTGGCTTTCTTTATTTAATAAACAAAGCATTCAATAAAATACTTTTTTATTCAACATATTCCATACATCAAAGAAAACATAATTAAAAGGAAAAACCACTACTAAACCATAATAAAAAATAAAAAGAAACTACAACCAAAGCACAATAATAATAAAAAACCACAACCAAACCATTAAAAAAAATAATAATAAAAAAAATAAAAAAAAACACAACACAACCAAACCATAACTAAATAAAACCTAACCAGAGCATCTATGCCCCATCATTCACCGTCATTGCCTTTCATCGCCCATAGATGCTCCATCATGTCAAGTTGACGCCTTTCATGAATATACGAAGATTGCATCTCTGTATATCGATCTACCATACGGGTCATGAAACGACGATCCCTAACCAACGGATCTGGCTCAAATGATTCTCTACTTGGCCCCATGGGCCTTTCATAAATTCGTGTCAAGATCGTGTTCATGGGATCCAGTTCGTAGACCTCTGTAGCATCATAATCATACTCATCCTCCACAATCATATTATGGAGGATGATGCAAGTCATCATAATGCTTCTAAGGACCTCCTCATCAAACATACGGGCTGCACCTCGAATAATCAACCACCGAGCTTGAAGGATACCAAAACACCTTTCAATATCTTTCATGTATCCTTCTTGATAGGAAGCAAATAATTTTTTCTTCTAGGATTGGGGATTCAGAATGGATTTGACAAATGTGGTCCACCTCGAGTAGATGCTGTCAGCTAGATAATACCCCGTCCGGTAGACTGTATTGTTAACTTGATAGGTGATATTGGGGCCTTGGCCTCTCAAAACATCGTTGAAGACCGGGGATTGACCCACCATGTTGAGGTCATTTTGGGATTCGGCAACTCCGAAGAAGGCATGCCAAACCCATGTATCGAAGCCAACAACGGCTTCAAGGATGATACTTTTTTGGCATTTTCTATTTCTGTAATCTCCTTTGCCAGGCAGTTGGACAATTCTTCCATTGCCAGTGCATGTAGTCGATGCTACCAATCATTCTTGGAAATCCTCAAGCTTCGGCTTTTTGTAGAAGCCATTGGAGGTCCCTGAGAATAGGTCTGTGTAGGTAATCCCTAGTGTACAGAGTTTTGACTGCATCACAAAATCTTACCAAGGCCTCTAACGTAGTGGACTTCCCCATCCAGGCAATCTCATCCACCTGATCAGTAGATGAACCATACGCCAACATTCGTATAACAACTGCAAGCTTTTGCTCCAAAAGAAGTCCCAAAACCCCAGCAGCATCACACTTTTGAACAAAGTATGCATCATAATTACAAATACCATGCATGACTTTATTGAACAAATGGGGTTGCATTCTATATCGCATTCGAAAATCAACATCAGAGTACAAAGAAGTTGGGATAAAATAATCATCCAAAAGATTCTTACCCCGAGAATGCCTATGTCTGTCCACATTCGGGCCACAGCCAACTTGTGAACCACGACAGCGATCTTGGTTCTCTTCATCAAGCAAAGCCACTGCTATGACAACTTGTTCATCTTCTTCTCTCTACAACCTTTGCCTTTCAGCTCGTCTACGGCTTCTCTCATTTGTTTCTCGCTCTTGCCTCTCTAAGCATCTCCTCAAATCTTCCATTGAGAATGGAGTATGAATTCTAAAGTCTGAGAAATGAAAATATAGAAAGATGTGGTGTGAGAGGTATGAGTTGAGCCTCTGGTTTTATAGAAAATTTTGGCCAAATAGAGATGCCACGTGGCTTGTTTTGATAGGATGAAAATCTTATCTGAAATTTGAAATTCATCCAAAATTAGAAATTAGAAATTTATATGAATTTTGAATTTTGAAATTCATCCGAAATTTGAACCCAAAAATCTTATCTGGAAATTTTATCCGATTATGAATAGTCTTGGCACGTAGGAACCCGAAAATCTTATCCAAAAATATTATACAAATTAATTAGTGAAGTAAAACAATTTGTGAAAAAAACAAAAAAATGAATAGTAATTTCCCTTTGTCATGGCAACGGGTGGAAACGGTAATGACTTTTTGCAAAGGCAACCACTATTCGCGTGAATAGTGGCTACCCTAGCCCCCCCTCCCCCAAAGGGCAAATGGGTGGAATTGCTCTTACGCATCTACCCAACTTCTCCCTATCCCCAAAGGTGGCCCCATCATCTTTCCTCCTCCCTCTGCAACTAACCATCACCCCAACATCATCCATAAGCACCCAAACCCACCAAAAGCCATGCCCCCATCAGCCTTCCTTATTCCTTTGCAACTAACCACCACCCATCATACTAAAGAAAAAAAAAAAAAAAAAAAAAAAATCATCCATATCCACCTAAACCCACCACAAGCCATTCCCACCACAAAAAATAAAAAAACATAAATAAATAAATAACAATGCATATTTGTGGTGGGGATGGGTTTTTGGGTTGCAGGGGCAAAACACTTGGTGATAAAGACGGTGGCATGGCCTTGGTTCAAGGTTTGGATATGGCATTGTGGATAGGTTGAGTCTGCGACGGATCTGGAGAGAGAGAGAGAGAGAGAGAGAGAATGGTTGGCTTGGGGTTGGGGCGTTGAGATGGAGGCCATTCCTCTCCCCTCAGCCATGAAAACCCAGCCTACCTTTTACACCATCATCATCAAAATCACAATCATGATCTAGGCAATATTTTAAGGCAATTCCCTATTACAAGGAGACCACATTTTATAGATACTAGGTACAAAGGGATGGGTTGGGATGAGGGAGGAGATCTTTTAGTTCCGATGGTGAAGGGGTGGCAGAGTGTGGAGAAGACGGTGTTGTTGGTTTTTTAATTTCCTGTTAATTTTTTCATTTGTTTTTCTTCTATTAATAATAATTGAATTAAGTTTTTGAAAAGAAAATCTTTTTATTTTTTATTTTTTTACACATGGCACCTCCATGTAATCCAATTCAAAAAAATTGTGGATCCCATTCATGCCACGTCGACATTTTAACAGAGCTTTTGACTGACTTGACGGTGGAGAGTAAATTGAGATGCAAAACATCGATCAAGGGGGCAAATTGGGCCATTTTAACTTTCAAATGGTAAAATGAGATTTGACCAAAGTTTCGAAGGGCACTACATTAAATAAGCCTTAGTTTTATCATACAATCCTTGTACACCTCTACCAATATTTGGGATATTTTTATTACAGCTCAGTTTTTGACTAAAACTATTTAATATTCAACGACAATGGTCTAATTTAATTTCTTTATAAAATTAGTTTCCAAACCAAAATATCTTGGTTCCTTGAAGTTATAATATTCAATCAAAGTCATAACTTTCAACGCCAAAATGCAAGTTTCAATTTTTAGCCCTAAAAATAACTAGAGAAGTATAGTTTTCCCTCTGACCACAATGCGTCCTTTCCCAGTTCGATATGCCTCCAAGATGCTTCACAAAATGAACATTTATCCAAAAATTATTGATTGCACAGACATAAATGTCCATGAATGTTCTTACCCATATGCACAAGAACAAACACGTATATAAGGAAGATGCCATCAGCATATAAGCAAAAGGGATAATTCTGCGACTAAGACAATCCTTTATTACCCTCATCATTTGTATTATATTACATCTTCAATTCAATCACATTAGTATATACTATTTTACTCTATCTTCACCTTAAGCTCAAGTTTCATGGCAATTTTACTTGTTCAGAAAAATGAAACAAAACTCTGTGTACGAACAGAGTAGTATACCCCATGAATTTAGCAGCAAGTACGCATCATAAGACATCTCACCACTGCCCATCATCACATTCAATTTGAAGGCATCCCTTTAGTACAACCTATTCAAACGTTATACAGAAACTGATAAAAACCAAGGAAAGAACTACTACAAGGAGGAGGCTATCCCTTTTTCGTCCAAGCTTACTAGAATGAACCATGCTTCAGATAGCGAAGGAATGGTTCCAAAGTACCCAAGGTTTCCCATAATCAATCCTTGAGTTGGAAAATCAGGCCTTGGCATGTATTCCAGTAATTCTTGCAATTGTCACAGGGAAAACCAAATGTCAAATACTCGAAAGGAAAAATGAAATGGAAAATAAAGAAAACACAAAAACAAAATGGGTCGATAGGATGCAGATCATTGTTTGTCCATAGTCAGGTAGCTTTAAACTTGTGTTGTTTACTATTCAAGGAGGCTGGAGTCAGTTGGGTAATTCCACAAGGATACCCTTCATTAATTAGTGAAAGTCTTGCTGCTTTTGGAAAAGGAAATAAGGCTCGGGTCTTATGGGGTTGTTGCAAGATGGCTGTTTTGTGGGTGATTTGGATGAAGGGGAATGAGAGGATGGGGATAGAAGAGCTGTGGGAGAGGGTGATGTTTTTGTCGTCCCATTGGGCTTCAGTTACATCAGATTTCAGGGATCTTTTCCTTTATATTTTGCTAAATTGGGAGTCATCTATAGGAGAATGTGTTTTTGTAAGCCATGTACGCTTCAGTGGCCTCCTTGTGGAGCTCAACACGAACGATTCTTTCTTCGCTGTTCTCACTTGTGTCCTTGACCAGCACACTTCCATTCCCATTCTGCCCCTCGCCTGGGTCCTCCTTTTAGGGGTCGTCCTGGAGCCTGGCCTTGATTGGGAGGATGTGGGTTCCGGGACGGGAGGACGATGCGGACAGGAAGCGGAGCTCCGACAGGTTGTGACGGAGACTGGAAAATCGGGTCGGGTAGAGTGGGGCGGCGAGGCGGTAGCGGAGGATGGAGGAAGAAAGGCGAACACTGGAAGCTAGGGCCATGGTAGGAGTTTGGGGGGAAACTGAGGGTTTCATAGAGATAGGGCTCAAGGCGCCATTTTATGTGCATTCCTCAGTTGACTCTGGAAGTAGCAGATGCGTTGTTCATAGTACATATCATGTAGGGAAGATGTTCACTTGTATTTTCTTTGATCATGTTTCAAGTTTCCACTGGTAGTATGTATTCTAGTTACTCTTTGGTGTTTAAAACTTTTGAAGAAACAGGTGCAAAATTCTTTCATGAACTAATTTGACCATAGATTGATGTTATTTATCTGACCTGATGGCAACAAGACAATTGGTTTATCTCCTTGAACTTTGCATTGGTAAATGTTAGCACTGTAAATGAATTCACTATTGTTTGGGCCTAAATTCCACACGCTAGCTCAATTGTCATTGGTCCAATCAGAAAACAGAAGTTTGGGCTTCATTTGAAGTCAGAAATCAGCCCAAGTAGTTTTAGAGGCCAAGACCTTTGTGAAACAAATTAGGAAGGATTAGAATCACAGATTAAAGATTAATTGCCATTAAATGGCAACTTAATTTGGACAAATCAAACTTCTAAATTGATTTCAAGATTAGGCCCAGCTTCTAAAAAGCTCTCATCACCGTTAATTTCAATCCCAGAATGCAAGTCAACAGATTTTTTGGGAAGATCTTTTCTAAAAAAGAACCCACGTGACTTTCTGACTCTGAAAGTCAAAGTTTTCAACTAAGGCAGAGGAAGTGATGTGGAGTTAATAAAAGCAGGTTAACCAGAAAACACTCTCCATGTCCATTTAAAATGATAGGAAAAGAAGACCAGGTTTCCTTTCTATACGCGGAAAGACCATGCATCATAGCAGGTTAAGTTTTCAAGAGATAAATAGGGAGCAGGAGAGTTGTTTGCCAAAAAAAGCAAATGGACCATCATAGCAAGTTATGTTTTGCAACAGATAAGCAGAGAACATGAGAGTTGGTTTTCCAGAAAAAGCAAATGGACCATCATAGTAGGTTATGTTTTGAAAGAGATAAGCAGAGAACAAGAGAGTTGGTTTTCCAGAAAAAGCAAACGGACCATCATAGCATATTAGTAACTTCCCCCTTCTTTGAGTTGGAAAAGGAAAAAAAAATCCTTTCCAAAAGATCTGCCCCCAGATATTAAAGAATAGACCCTCATTCAGAGTCTCTATAAAAATGAGAGGAGGTGAACAGGATTAAGGGCCAAAAATTTCAATCAAAACAAAAACTCTCAAAGTCACATTGACAAATTCAAAACAAGATAAGTTGATCTCAAAGGCCTTCAGGCCCTGAAGCAACCAAACTCTTTGATTCACAAAAGACAGACCATCCAGAACTCATGTTTCTGACTTCAGTTCAATTCAGAGAAACGGTTTACAAAGGAAACGAGCTCTATCATTACAAATTTGGTTAAGTACAAGCCAAATCAAGCAGAAATTCGGGTTTTTCATAATATGAAAACCTCAACAAATTTACAAAGATGTCTTGAGCTCTCAGAATTGCTAGAATAGCTCTTGGATGACTCATAATCAAGCAGAACAAGTGTTGTAGTGTAGTTCCAGGCCAGTAATCATCAAACTAGCCCCATCCAGACTGAAAAAAACCTCAGTTCTGCCCATCCAACAAGTCTTTTCATGGCTAGAATATATTAAAGCTCTGCCAATCTCAACATTGGTATCAATTTCCAGCTGAGCCTCATCAGTTGAAGATGCTGACGTTTGAATCCAGCATAGATATATCTAATCTTGCTTGAATTACAGACAGCTATCCAAGCAGAAATCGAAGCCCAGTGTTCTGTTGTCCTTTCAGACATGGCAGTCCCCTTTTGTCTTAAAAGTTCTGTAATAGGCAGTTTTTCCTTAAAAACAGTTTGATCTATCTTTCAATATTCATTTTGGCTAGAACTACCAGTTTACTATGATAGATTGTAAAGTCCTCACCAGTCTAAGGCAAGAAAAGAAATTGCTTGGGAGATATTCCTCACCCAAATTCATAATCACTTGTTTAAAGTCAGTAACTTGGGGCGCAAGTTATCTATTTTTTCATAAAGTTTGTTAGAATTTTAACTGCTAACAGTGGCACGCTCGCACACCAAAGAAAGTTGACTTGTTAACCACAAATGATTTTCAAGCCAATGAGGAACTTTACCCTACCATGACAGGATTAAATCAAAACGGGTGAACAATTATAATAAACTTCATACTGTGAGATGACCATTTATAGAGTGAAGTTTTTGAATTGGGAATATTACTGTGATAGTGATACAGCTGCTGTATTTCTGTATTTAGGGGAATGGGATTGAAAATGTGATTGATGTTCAGTTTGGTGGTGGAATTGTTATACGCCTGTGGGAAGTGCTGGTAACAGCTGAAGAAAAAGCTGCTAAAGAAGCACGCACAAGACGATTAGTTGCTGCTTACAAGAGTAAAATGGGCATGAACATTGATCCAAAGCTAAGATCTGAATGTGGGAAGGTTTGCTTCTTTGAAATTTTTCCTTGTCTGCTTGTATGCCAAAATCTTTTCTTGCCCTGAAAACCCTTTCCCTTGCTATTCCTATTGTCTTTTCTTAATATACTTGTTTTTTTTTCTTTTTCATAGAAGTCCTTTTTTAAGATAATGTCATTGCAGGATATGTTTCCTACTCTATTTGCAATAAAAAAAAGGAAGGTTATTCATATCTGAATTATTGTTTTTTATTTTTATATAATGCTCAGACAGCACTCCCAAATAGGAATTTGAAATGTTTCTAAAATTCTATTGTTATTTGCAGGTTTTAAGATGTTTTACTGAGTAGGGAGCATGGTGAATAATAATATTGTGATAGGTCAATCAAAATCTTCTGGGTACTGGAAATGGATTTCAAATTAGGTTAAAAGTTTAAAGTCAAATTCTAGTGGCGTCAGGTTGTTGTTTTGGGTGGTGCCGCTGGTCTAGATCTTAACTAAACAAGATGTTGTTGGAATTATCCATGAATGGAGTAAATTTAAAAATTAAAAAAAGGAACAAAACCCAAATTATATGATCCCTTATAACTCCTAAACCAAACCTTGATAGATCTCTATAAAAGGAACATAGATATTGGGTTTCCGTTCTAAATACTGTTGGAAACAATCAGTAAGTTGTATAATATAACAGAATATATACATATATATATATGTATATAAGGCTTTTAAATGAATTAATATATAACAACAGAAAAATTACAGATACAAGAGTTTGTATTAAACCAGAAATATTAACTTGCAAAGATGATAGAGGCTAGCAGATTTGCTATGTCCTTAGATAGTATTTCCCCCCCACTCCTGTGCTTGTGGTTATGCAGATGACTGTGCACTAGGATACAACTATCAAAACCAAAATTCTAGCACTTGAATTTTAGTATCTGGCGAACTACAGTATGGGTACTCTAAATGGATTTTAGTGTTGTGTAAGATGTGTTGGGTTTCAAAGTTAGTTTTTGTTCTCTGTACGTTTGGCTATTTAAATAGGCCTAAGACACCCCTTTGACATATATTTTCAAACATATATATCTGAATTTTGAATTTCAAACTAACTGAAATTATCCGATGTTCAAAACTTAAATATATAAAATATATATATTTAATTTAAATAAGGCCAACACGTCCAAAGCCCACTTCAGAAAGACCCAATTGTGTTTATTATAGTGAAAGATCCATACTCTTATGAAGAGTGTATGAAACTCTTTTCCCACTGAAACTCTAACAATACCCCACATTTGAGTGGGAAAAGTAAGTCTATGTGTAACCATTGAGAATACGCGTTAGATGTAACATACATCATGAGAGGTGTCTTTTGGACTTGAACCTACCTTAGTGAATACTTGTTGGATATACAAGGTGACACAGTGGATATCCAATCTTGAACTGTTCACCAAACCAGTATACTAAGACAACAAGTATCACATATGTCTCATCCAGACACACTGTGCGTTCATACGTTTGTGTTCAATTTTGGTCATGAACAGATCCTGGATTCATGAGAGCTTTAGAGAATGTAGCCATATAATTCTCATTAATGCAACCCCACATTTACTCTCATATAGGTGACACCAACTTGGGAATAGTTTGCCATATTCCCCTTAAATACAAGTAATTAGTGTCATTAAACATAAGTACCCTAAAAAACTTCAGCAGACAACACACTCTTCCATCATAGGAATATGGCATATAGTGTCTCAACAACTTCATTTATACCTAACCAGTTTGCCAATTGAACATAGACCATGGGATCTTCAATCAGCTAGGTTAGGTTTCCATTAGGCTAAATCATTTATTCTGTTGGTTGTAGCCCCATTCCCCTCGATGTAAATTTTATGTGCTCTCTTGACAAACCTTTAGAAAGCGGATACGCAAGATTCTCTTTTGACTTTATATAGTCAATGGAAATTATTCCACTAGAGAGCAATTGCTTTATTGTATTATGCCTTCGTCTAATATGCATAGACTTTCCATTGTATACATTGTTTTTAGCTCTTGATTGAGCTGCTGTACTATCACAATGTATATAGATTGTTGTTACAGGCTTAGGCCATATCGGAATATCTTCTAAAAAATTCCTCAGCCATTCTGCTTCTTCTCCTGCCTTGTCTAAGGCAATAAATTCCGATTCCATTGTCAATCGGGCTATGCATGTTTGCTTGGAAGATTTCCAAGACACTGCTGCTCCTCTTAATGTAAACACATATCCACTTGTGGATTTAGTTTCAGTATTGTCAGAGATCCAGTTAGCATCACTATATCCTTCCAATACCGGAGGATATTTAGTATAATGCAATCCATGATTCAAAGTGTATTTTAAATACTTTAACACTCTAATTAAGGCATCCCAATGATCACGTCTAGGATTGCTAGTATACCTACTTAGCCGACTCACTGAATATGCTATATCAAGTCTTGTACAATTCAGAATGTACATTAAACTCCCAATAACTTGGGAATATTCACATTGTGATATAGCACCTCCAACATGTTTTTTTAGTTTACAATTGGCATCAAATGGTGTAACGGCATGTTTGCAATCATATTGACCAAACCTTCGTAGTGTAGTCTCTATATAGTGAGACTATGAAAGGATAAAGCCATTTGAATTTCTCTTGACTTTTATACCAAGAATCACATCAGCAAGACCCAAGTCTTTCATATCAAAGCTTGAATTTAACATTTTCTTCGTTGAATTAATTATATCCTTATTAGTTCCCATGATGAGCATATCATCCACATACAAACATACTATGTCACATGCATTGTTATGTGTTTTAATGTAAACACATTTGTCACATTCATTTATTTTGAAACCATGTTTCAGCATAGTATGATCAAATTTTTTATGCCACTGCTTAGGTGCTTGTTTTAATTCATACAAGGATTTGACAAGCCTACATACTTTATTTTCTTGACCTTCAACCACGAAACCTTCTGGTTGCTCCATATATATTTCTTCTTCTAAATCTCCATTTAGAAATGCAGTTTTTACATCCATTTGATGTATTTCAATGTTATAAACATTCGTATAGATGTTATTCTCGTTATAGGAGAATAGGTGTCAAAGAAATCCAACCCTTCTTTTTGATGGTAACCTTTTGCTACTAAACGATCTTTATATTTATCGATCGTACCATACCCAATTGGTTTGTTACCATGTGGCAAGTTCACCAATTCCCATGTATTATTTTGTAAAATAGCATCACACTAGTAGGATTCTTGGAATTCCCTAGAGACCTTGGGCATCACACTTGGCTGCATTGCATCATAGAATCCTAAAGAGAAGCAGACAATTCTGTGAATTATTTCATATGCCAAAAGAAGTTATTACAGCCTGTATATGTTAGTGGCTTTACGCTTATGTGATTTTCAGACTCGTTAATAGTAATGAAAGACACTGGAAGACTCTTGGGCTGGTACAGCTGAAATACAGCCCATAATTGACCCCACCCAATTAGGCAAGGTCCAAAGTTAGTCCAACAAAATCCAGCTTTTGACAAATCAAGACTTGGCATTGTAGCCTGATAAGTCTATATTTTATATATATTTTATGTCTCCTTTATTTATTTATTTGTTAATTTCCTTATATTAAATTGGTTGTTTTAATTGGTTTTGTGAGATTTGTGAAGGAATTGTGAAAATAGGAGAAAGTGTGCTAAAAAGGGCAAGAAGATGAAGATTGGAGATTAATCAAGTCAAACAAAGAGAAATAAAGAAGACCTTATTTTAGAAGGAATCCTATTTTTATAACAATTGTAATTATACCTTGGGTAGGATTTCTAGGAGTTTTATAAATAGGAAGTTTAGGTCATTTTTAAAAGGACCGATCATCATCCATCCTCCATTATCCATCATCCTACATATCATACTCAGAGCCGAAATATCCAAGGGAGAATACGAAGAAAGCTTGCGCAACCTTGGAATTCTACTTGGAGAATTCAATGTCTACTATGTCTTCATCAACCATCATGATTCTCAATAAGTCCTTCATGAACTAATTCCTTTTACTAGGGCTACGATGTAGCCTAGCTATGAATACTCAAATTCTTTGATATTGTTAATTATATTTATCTATACATGTTGAGTGCTTGTTACCATTCTTAATGCTTTCAATTAATTGGCCATTAATTGCATGATTGGAAGAATTAGGTTGAGACCGGAAGGAGATTCCTAATAAAAATCTTCTAGTAACAAGTACCATAAATTACATACCCGACTTGGAAGACTAGGTTATGGTTTGTGTAATCTTTATTATTATCCACAAATCTTAATGTGTTCTTAGCTATCTAAATCCATAACTAGGAATAGAGTGGGTTGATGGTAAGGAATACAACTGATATAACTTGGAAGAGAGTATTGGTGAGGTAAGGGAAAACGATTATCAACATGTTAGGTAATTAGAATTAACAAGCTAGAAGTGTTTGGATGAGATTAGCTAGGTGAAATCGGTGCCCTAGTGCTTTATCATCTTTGTTTTCATCTTTTACATTAATTCCTTAATCTCAATTTATTTTGTTTGCTTAGTTAGATTTTAATCATCATAATTCTCTTTTTGTTTAATTCAAATATAATTAGAAATAAATCACTCTAGTATTTAATAGATTACTTGATCCCTGTTGGAATGATACTCTACTTACTACTATATTAATTTGAGCGATATTGTTCACTTGCAATTAATCACATCAAATATATATATATTTTTTGGGAAATCAAAGGGAACTAAAGAAGTACCTGATATTAAAAAATTTAAAAATTAATTAACTATTCAAAGTATAACTAGAAAATATAGCACACTGATATTAACAGAATAAGTCAATCCCTGGCAACGGCGCGAGGAATTATGAATTGAAAAATATCCACTTTAATATGATGCCTTCTTTTCATGGATAAAGTTCTGAAGATCCTTTAGCTCATATTAGAGATATTTTTAACATGGTTTCTAACATGGCTTTGACAAAGGGAGTCACCGAAGAACATCTCAGGATGAAAGTCTTTCCCTACACATTGAAAGATAAAGCAAAGATGTGGCTAAGCTCTTTTAGGCCTGGATTATTGACTAGCTGGACGGAGGTTCAAAACAAGTTCTTGGAGAAATTCTTTTCAACTCAAAAAACTGATGCACTGAGGGACAAAAATCATGCAATTCAGCCAATAGGCTGATGAGTCACTTTCAGAAGCTTGGGAATGGTTCAACAATTTTTTAATATAGTGTCCTCACCATGGTTTGCCTACTCTAGTTCTCATACATATTTTTTATAAGACACTAACCGTTTCAAGTAAGGCTGCAGTGAATAACTATGCAGGTGGATCTATTAAGAACAAGACGTCAACTAAATGTCAAACTTTGTTTGATACACTAGCAATTGAAACATAGCATTCTGATACAAGAGGTAAGCGTGCTGGAATTTATGAAATTGGTAGTTCTAATCTATAAATGGGAGAGCACCAACACAAGAGATTTGCTCCATTTGTGCTGTTCCTGATCATGCCACCATATCTTGTCCATAGGGGGTTGATTTCGCAGAATTTCTACAAGAACAAGCCAATATGGTGAATACCTATAGACGTTTCGGCAATGATCCATTCTCCAACACATACAATCAGGGATGGCAAAGGCACCCCAATTTTTCATGGAGCAATACTCAGAACGTACAAAAACCACCACTTGGTTTTCCATCTCAAGAGAAAAAAATTAATTTGGAAGATGCTCTTACTCAGTTAACTATGTCTACCACCCAATTTATGACTAAAACCAAAACCCAACTTCAGAATCAGAGTGCTTCTATTCGAAACTTGGGGGAGCAAGTAGGCCAACTAGCTACTATATTGAGCGAAAGAAGCCAAGGAGTATTGCCAAGCCAAACAAAGGTTAATCCAAAAAATCAAGAGCATGCGAAGGCAATTACACTTCGAAATGAGAGATCCATCAAAACTGCTGTAGATTTAGACTTAAAAAAGTACCACCAACAGTTGAGAGATACGGAAAAAGCTGAAGAAAGTAGCCTACCCGCCACCATAAGCTCAACCGAAAATTCAGCAACACAGGCAATGAATTTTTCTTCTCAAACCAATGAGCAAGCATCCACAAATCTCACCCCAAAATCCTATGTTCCACCGATTTCTTTTCCACAATGCTTGAAGAAAAATAAGAAGGATGCACAGTTCTCCAAATTTCTTGAAATTTTTAGGAAATTGCAAATTACCATTCCATTTGGTGAAGCACTAGACCAAATGCCGAGCTATGGAAAGTTCCTTAAGGACATCTTAAGCAAAAAGAGACGTTTGGACGATACAGAGATAGTGAAATTGATAGAGGAGTGCAGTGCAGCAATAAAAAGGCAACTACCACCTAAGCGAAAGGATCCAGGGAGTTTTTCTATTCCGTGCACCATTGGCACTATTTCTTTTCATAGAGCTTTATGTGATCTAGGTTCTAGTATAAATTTAATGCCTTTGTCTATTGCTAAAAGAATAGGCTTGGGAGAAATTAAGAAAACTACTATTTCTTTGCAGATGGCGGATAGATCACTTACATATCCTCACATAATTCTTGAAGACGTATTAGTGAAGGTGGACAAGTTCATACTTCCAGCTGACTTCATAGTCTTGGATATGGAAGAAGATGTCGACACTCCAATTATTTTAGGCCGCCTATTCCTCATTACCGGAAGAACATTAATTGACGTAGAAAAAGGTTTTTTGATCCTACGAGTAGCCGATCAAGAGGTGGAATTCAAGGTTTTTGATGCAACCAAATACCCCATTGATTCAGAGTATTGTTTCCAATTAGAGGCTATAGATCATGTTGTTCAACGACAATTCAATGCGGAGTACTTGAAAGATCCATTAGAAGCAAGTTTGGTCAATGAGATAGAGATTGTAGATGAGGAGCCACACATGCTTGAAATGGTGAACTTGCTGGAAGCTACACCGTTGTACAAACAACCCTTCCACAGAGAATTTGAGCCACTTGGTGCTGTTGCCACCAAGCCCGTACCAAGCATCGTTGCCGCACCAACCCTCACCTTGAAGCCACTACCCTCGCATTTAAAGTATGCCTATCTTGGTACATCTCAAACTCTCCCTATCATTATTAATTCAGATTTACTTGAAGAGGAGGAAGAAAAATTACTACAAGTTCTAAAAATGCATAAAATCGCTATTGGGTGGACTATTGCGGATATTAAAGGAATTAGTCCTTCTACATGCATGCATAGAATTTTTATTAGAGGAAAATTTCAAGCCGACGATAGAAAATCAAAGAAGGCTAAATCCAAATATGAAAGAAGTTGTTCGTGCCGAAGTTCTCAAGCTTTTGGATGCCGGAATTATTTATCCAATTTCGGATAGTAATTGGGTAAGCCCAATCTAAGTAGTGCCAAAAAAGGGAGGAATCACGGTAGTAAAGAACGACAACAACAAGCTTATTCCTACAAGGACCGTGACTGGTTGGCGTGTGTGCATTGATTATAGGAAGCTCAACACCTCGACCCGTAAGGATCACTTTCTGTTGCCGTTTATTGATCAAATGTTGGAAAGGTTGGCTGGCCATGCCTATTATTGTTTTCTAGATGGATATTCGGGATACAATCAAATCCCCATAGCGCCCGAAGACCAAGAAAAGACGACATTCACATGCCCCTTTGGTACCTTTTCCTATAGAAGAATGCCATTCGGTTTGTGCAACGCCCCCGCTACTTTTCAACGTTGCATGATGACTATATTCTCTGATATGGTGGAGTGCTTTATTGAAGTATTCATGGACGATTTCTCTGTTTTTGGGTCATCATTCGATTCTTGTCTCTCAAATTTAGCTTTGGTTCTACAATGTTGCTAAGAAACTAATTTGGTTTTGAATTGGGAAAAATGCCATTTTATGGTAAGAGAAGGAATAGTCCTTGGGCACAAGATTTCAGCCAAAGGGATTGAGGTTGACAAAGCCAAGATTGATACTATTGCCAATTTGCCACCACCTACCTCCGTGAAGGGAGTCCGAAGTTTCCTTGGTCATGCCAGGTTCTATCGTCGTTTCATTAAGGATTTTTCAAAGATTACGAAGCCATTATTCAATCTGCTTCTCAAGGATGTCACATTCAATTTTGATAATCGATGTTTGGAGGCTTTCAAGATTCTAAAGGAGAAACTCACATCCACTCCAGTCATTATCGCACCAAATTGGGAAGTACCATTCGAAATTATGTGTGACGCCAGTGACTATGCCGTAGGGGCTGTTTTGAGCCAAAGGAAAGACAAATTTCTTCATGTGATTTCCTACGCTAGCCGAACTCTCAATGATGCCCAATTGAATTATGCGACAACTGAGAAAGAGCTACTAGCCGTTGTCTTTGCCTTAGACAAGTTTCGTTCCTATCTCATTGGCTCTAAGGTAATTGTTTACACCGATCATTCAGCTTTGAAGTATTTATTATCAAGGAAAGATGCAAAGCCACGGTTGATTCGATGGGTATTGTTATTACAAGAGTTTGATTTGGAAATAAGAGACAAAAAAGGGTCTGAAAACGTCGTGGCCGATCATTTATCTCAGTTGATCCAACATGGAGTTGAGGATAAACTAGCTGCTGCCACACCTATAGCCGTGACGTTTCCCGACTAGCAACTCTTCGCCATCCAATCTTCCATCGTCCCTTGGTATGCCAACTATGTTAACTATTTGGCTAGTAATATCCTTCCACCTGACATGACTTTTCAACAAAAGAAAAGGTTCCTCTCACTAGTAAAGCATTTTTATTGGGATGATCCTTATTTATGGAAGCATTGCCCCAATCAAGTTATCCGAAGATGCGTGAATGAGACCGAGATGGTTGCTATTCTTCATCATTGTCATTCGCTAGCATGTGGAGGTCACTTCGGAGCCGCCAAAACCGCAGCTAAGGTACTCCAATCGGGATTCTTATGGCCAACTCTATTCGAGGATGCTCATACATTTGTCCAAACTTGTGATCGTTGTCAAAGAACCGGGAATATTTCTCGTCGAGATCAAATGCCGTTGTCCAACATTTTGGAGGTTGAAGTATTTGACGTTTGGGGCATTGACTTCATGGGACCTTTCCCACCATCTTACAACAATCTCTACATTTTGGTAGCCGTTGATTATGTCTCTAAGTGAGTTGAAGCCGTGGCCTTGCCTACCAATGACGCCAAGAGTGTGCTTAGATTCTGAAAAAAGAACATCTTCACTCGTTTTGGTACTCCGCGTGCCATTATTAGTGACGGAGGTATGCATTTTTGTAACCGTTCTTTTAACTCTCTTCTTGCTAAATATGGTATTACACATAAGGTTGCCACTCCTTACCATCCTCAAACTAGTGGGCAAGTAGAGGTCTCGAATAGAGAATTAAAACGCATCTTAGAAAAGACGGTTAGTGCCTCTAGGAAAGATTGGTGCTTGAAATTGGATGATACACTATGGGCTTACCGGATAGCATACAAAACACCCATAGTATGTCCCCTTTTCGACTTATTTTTGGGAAAGCATGTCACTTACCCGTGGAACTTGAGCATGGCAAATCTATAAATTGTAAACTTTGATGAATACAGTGACCAATTTAGCTTTTTTGTTTTTTGTTTTTTTTCTAATGCCCAAATTGAAATTTCATGTAAAACCCAATGACAAAAAAAGTATTTAACCCTTCAATAAATATCCTCCAGAATAAAGAGTACAAATACAGGCACTAAATTGCTAAGTTAGAATTTGACCCCAAAAATAATTGCTAAATTAGAAACGCATGACTAAATTGGCAAATAGGGCAAATAAAGAAAGAATCTAATGCTAGTATAAACGATAGGAATAAATTAAGCATATATGCATTCATACTTTCATATCCGATGGCACTTTTCTGGAGAGGAATTGGTTGGCAAGGGGGAATCCACCAATGTGGGAATCCACCACCATTGGTGGAACCCATTAGCCTCTACGACAATAATTGGGTTCAGGGATTAGGGCCTAAACCAATATCTTGCTCATATATCAAACGGACTCCACACTTCTTCACCTCCAAGCTAGGGCCTAAAGTTTTAAATAAAAACGCAAGCCGACGACAGCTGTCTTGCCATGCAGTTCCAAAATGTTCACAGCCTACAAAGGATAGCCAAATGTGATCCGACTCAATTTGGCCTAATTCTGGGCTGCAGCCGAAGAAAGGACACCAGCCGCCTGAACCCAAATTGTTGGGGTTCACTTCACAACGAAGGCCATGTGCAGTGCTATTGGTCTCTTGCTCATACTTCCATTTACCAAGCAGGTTACCTGCAGGGATACGTCGACCGAGACCAAAAACAGCACACAAAGCATATCCTCTCCAATTATTCTTACACCAGTCCGCAGGTAGGTCCATGCTTACTCCAGACCTCGCACTTCGATCAATGAACCACTCAGAAATTTCACTGCCAGGAATTATAGTTTCAAACCTGTGTCCTGGATAAGGGATTCCCTGCACCACAGAAAACTGTGAAATAAACAACTGGTCATGTGTGTGTCTGTGAGAGAGATCTAGAGAGAGAGAGAGAGAGAGAGCACCTGAATGAATCTCCTTAACAGTGCAATTGCTATATTGTTGCAGCCTTGATTTTTAACCAATTCGGAGCAATTAATAAAATTGAAACACGGTGACAGCCTTTCCAGTGAATTACTCCCTTCTGAGCCAACACCGAAGTTCACTTTTGGTGAAAGGTCCGGCATTTGCTGAAGAAGCTTACAACTTTCCAAATTCAAGCTTTGAAGCTTAGAAAGCTGACTAATGCTTTTGGGAAGATTCAGAAAATTGTTTTTACTTAGATTTAGAGATACTAACGAGAATAGGCAGGCAAGATTTTCCGTTATTGTTCCCTCCTGAAGATTACAGTCACTGAGGTTCAGTTCTGTTAAAGAAGACAAACCAGAAGTAGAAATTGGAAACTGCAGACCCACTAAACGTGTCCGCTTTCTGGGCATCGATAGATAGTTGCAAGAATTATTTTCTGACTCAAGTGGCAGCCCTTTACATCCACGAAGAGATAAAATTTTAAGATTTTTCATAAGGAAAATGGAGGATGGTAGTGTGCTTAAGGAGGTACCGCTCACATCAAGTTCCTCCAAACAATCAAGCTGTCCCAAGCTTTCTGGCAGTTCTTTAAGTTTAGAGCAGCGACAAATGTTGAGACTTTTGAGGGAGCTCAACTTGCTAATGTCGTGTGGAAGACACTCGAGATAATAGCAATCTCGTAGATTTAATAAAGTAAGGCCAATCAGAATTTCAGTTGATGCAGGTAATTTTTCTATAGCAGTCTCATTTAAAGAAAGCTCCATCAAATGTTCCATAGGTTCAGCAAATTCTGGAATTTTCTTAATTCTTGAGCAGCTAGAAAGAATAAGAATTTCAAGGCATTTCGTTTCAATCTTATTTGGAAGACTTTCAAGACTTCTGCATCCTTTAAGATTCAAGACTTTAAGCCTTTTCAGCCCAGCAATAGAGTGGTCGACCACCGCTAATTTTGTACAACCTTCAAGAATTAAACTCTCAAGATTTGGAGTACCTGTAAAATCTGGGGTCATGGTCAGGTTCTGGGACCAGCTAATATTGATGAATCTCAGCTTCTCCAAGCACTGTTCAAAACAGAAAAAAATAATTAATTAACAAAAATAGAGTGTTTGGGTGTTTTGTCAAATTTATCCACATACACAAACTAAAATTAATTAAATAAAAATAATCTAACCTTTTCTCCATTCCAAAGTTGTTCAATGCTGCTATAGCACAAGTTTAGTTCACAAAGCTTCACAGGTTGAAAACTTTGTGGGAGAAACTTTGTAGGGTACTCACTCCATTCGAGAACTACCAAGGCATTAGAAAGAAATTTGGGGCCTTCAGTCATATGCACATTACGAATTTGCAGAAACCGAAGATTATGCATCTTGGAGAAGGCCTCTGAGTTGCACCGTACCTCTTCTAATTTAAGTGAGTCTAAGGCTATGCCTTCAACTGCATCTGTTACCTAATAACCAGGAATAACAGGAGCAGTTAATGACAAAATCTCATAAAGTTTTGTAGTATGTCAAATGAAAGGATTCCTGCACTCACAAATAATAACTAGATACAGTAAAATTGAGAGATGATAAATTAGTTTAACTGACTTTCCAATCCATAGTTGTACCAATTTCTTACCTCATTATTTACAAGTACAGGAATGATATCCTCTGAAAGCCACAACCGGCTACGTCTGCCAGGCTCCTCACTGCATTCTCGCCGAACAATATCCCAACCCAATTCTTGTACCAAATCATGCATCCACAATTTTCCTTTTGAGACAGTTACTAGAGCTTTTTCAATCAGAACTTGTATACCAATGTCTGGATAGTAACCACAACTTTCCAGTATTGTCGTCACACGATCTATGTCTTCTCCTTTAAAGAAGCATGCAATGTCCAAAAATATTTTCTTTTCTGATTCTATTAACCCATCAAAACTGATTTTAATCACAGCAACAATTCTTCTGTCAGGATCTCTTTCTTTAATCAGCTTATCCAATACAGTTGTCCATTCATGTACACTTTTCATACAAAGGAACGAACCCAAAATCTCAAGAGCTAATGGAAGGCCATTGGCATATTTTAGAACATTCTTGGATAGTTCGAGATACTCTTCTTTAACCTGGTAATTCTTGAATGCTTTCCAGCTAAAGAGCTTAAGAGCTTCATCATCAGTTAATACCTCAACGTCATGTATTTTATCCACTCCAAATGTTCTTAGCAAATGCTTATCTCGTGATGTTATGATGATCCTACTCCCCAAACCAAACCAACTACGATCACACAATGCTTCCAATTCTTCTAACTGATCCACGTCATCAAGAATGATAAGAACCATTTTAGCACGTAGTCTATGCCTTATTACGTTTTTTCCCATATCAGTATTCCGTATATTTACATTACTTTGCAGCAAGTCCAAAAGAAGTTTTTCTTGTAAACGAACTAGACCTTGCTTTTCAGTTACCTCTCGAACATTGTTAAGAAAGCTGCAAGCTTCAAAATTATCACGTATAGTATCAAACACCACTTGTGCAAGAGTTGTCTTGCCTATTCCTCCCATCCCCCATATCCCTATGCTACGAACATCTTCACGCAATCCAAAGTCCAAGTACGAAAGCACTTTTTCCAAACGAGAATCCATTCCAACTAAAGCCTTGGATACATTAGTGGTTGTTTGATTATGTCTGGCAATACTTTCTACAATATGTTGAATAACTTGACGTTCAGATCTGCAAAGAAAAATAATAAACGATCCTAAAATGGTTGTTTGATTAAGTTTGGCGATCATTTCTACAATATCTTGAATAGCTTTGGGTTCATATGCAAAGAAAAATATATAACGATCTTATAAATATTGTCTGCAAGTTAGCTAGAAACATATGAGTAATCCGTTCTTCTACCCGGTTCTGTTAATGGAGGCTGAGACATTGAATTAGTTGGTTCTTTTTAAGAATCAGGTGATGGCGCTTCACTTTATAAATAACAAAGAAAGAGAAAACAAAGAAGAAATAAGAGATGTCGTATGCCTATCTGTCATGGACAACAGATCTCCTGAATGCTGGCCTGTGGAAGAGAAAAAATAAAGGAAGCTGCTCAAGACACAACTTTGCCATGTTTGGGAGGGGATCGGATTTCTTAATGGTACTCCTTGCTAACGGAGGATGTTAGGTGTAGGGTTTTTGTGAGTTTGGTATGAGTTTGTGGGGTCTTCAAAGTTTCGATATCAATTTGAAACGACCCCTAAAGTTCAGGGGTTTTATGTAGTTGATTTTTATTTTTTTTCCCTGATCAACCAGAGACGGGTTACGGGTATCAAACTTAGAGCCTCTGCGAACATTTTCAATTTTTCTTTTCATAAAAATAACAAGAAAAAAGAGAAGAAAAAGAAGAAGAGAATGACTTAGTACGAAGTATGACATAGTTAGATAATTGAGGAATTCATTTGCTACTTCAATTTTTTTTTTTAAAATTATAAACAAATAAATAATGCAAACAAAGCAAAAGAGGGAGAAAAACAGATCCAGAAGAGTAAGTTTAGTTTACCCATCTTGCAAAGTCCATCCGGCGAGACTAGCTACTTCAGTAAGTGCAGCTCTCCACCTTCGCACCTTCTCTGGATCGTCTCTAAAGCGTTCTTCCAGCTTCTCGAAAGCGCACGCGAAACTCCCTCGTTGTTGGCGTACGTCCGATGAATCCACATCATAAAAGACTGGGAGTATCATCTGTCTATTCTCTTTCTTACATTCTACAATCTTGCTAAGCATGTCTAAGCACCATGTCGAACCGGCGTAATTTTTTGAAAAAATGACAACTGCACATCTTGATTCGTCAATTGCTTCCAAGGTTATTACCGGGATGCTTTGTCCCCAGTTAGATTCCTCATCCCTAAATGCGAATATACCTTTCTGATCCAAAGCAGTATATAAATGGTCTACAAAATTCTTGCGAGTGTCCTCACCTCTGAAATGGAGGAAGACATCGTATGTCCATTTAGGGGAAGAAGAAGAAGAAGAACTATATGAGGCCAATAGGGCGGCCATTGAAGAAGGAGTGGAAGATGATCGGTTGATGGCGAGATTACCAAAAAGGTGTGTGCAAATAACAGATCTGAGAATGGCAATTGCACTAGCATTTGTTCAATTATTTTAAGCTAGTGTGAACTGAAAAGTTGACAAACCCCACCGAAAATGGACAATTAATCAACAAATTGCATTTTTTTTTCTTTTTCTGTTCTTTTTTTTTTTTGGTTGTTGTCATAGTCAATAAATTGCTTTAGGCAGGAATCAGGATATGTGTAAATATCAAGAGCAATGTCCAAAATATCAATGGTTTCGAAAATATCGATGGTCTAAAAATATAGAAACTTTAAAAAATTATCGATATCTAAAAAAATTGAATAAAAATTATAGAAATTGTAAAAAAACCTTGGAAATTTTTCTTGAAATTTTGGAGAATATTTATTTAGTCAATTTATCTTTATTACAAAAAAAAAAAAAAAAAAAAAAAAAAAAGAAGGAAATGCATTGCATGATGCATTTAATTGATTTAAATTAATTATATAGCGAACTGACAAAGAATGTAAGTGTAGAAAATATAGTAATTAATGAAAGAAAATTAAATACACCATAATCATTTATTTATAATGATTTACTACAATATTTTACATTTTATACATTGCATGGTAAGATATATGAGTGACTTAGCACTAGGGGTAGGCACTCAAACCGATGAATCGAAAATTTGAGCCGAACTGCACTGAACCAAACCGGGAAAAAACCAAGTTGACCAAAAAGTCAACAACCGGTCAAAAACCGAACTGGACCGGTTTGGACCGGTTCTGGATCAGATTCCATGTCTTCAAAAACCGGACAAGGCCGAACCAAATCGGTCAAATTAAAAATATATATAATTTCAATATATATTTACATTTAATGCTATATTTTTAATTTCACAACAAAAAAAACTAATATTTATCCAAGTTCAACTTCAAAATATCTCGATTTTCTAACTTTAATATTTATTTTTATATGAAATTGAATAATTTGTTAATTTTCAAGTAAAAAAAATAATATTTCAGTTGAAAATTGTGTTAAAAAATAATTTTTATAATCCGGTTCAAAACCGAATTGGAACCGAAATCAGACCGGAACTGGTTCAACTCGAATCAGATAGTTTTTGAAATTTTTTTATTAAAATCGAACTGAACCAAACCGAATGAATAGTATCAAATCAGTTCTAATTTGAGGCAAAAATCAGTTCAACCCGAACCGTGCCCACCCCTACTTAATACCACAAAGAGTTCCTTTAGGCCTCGTTTGGTACACGTCCCATGCCTGGATTGGATTATATTAAAATTAAGCCCATGTTTGGTTCACCTAATTCTAGTCTTAAGTAGGGATTACTAATGTGGGTCCCACTAAAAATGCCTCCTTAGAAGGTGTTAGATCCGGTACAAAAGGAGGGGACTCAACAATCTCGTGTGTTTTCAGGAAAAAAAAAGTTAAAAAAAATCTCGTGTTCTGTGCTCATACTCAGCCACTCAATTCAAGTCCATGTAATCACCATTATCCCCATTCTGATTCAAGACACTGGCTTCACCATTAACATCATCATCATCAGTCACTTATTAAGATCAAAATTGAGGATGCTCCTCCTCCTACTCCCCATGTTCGTCAAATCAGCCGAGTTCTTGATTGACAACAACTCCAAAACACAATGTAGTGTCATCAAGCTTGGATCCAATCGCCGAGTAAATCCCATGGATCTGAGTTAGTGTGAGGGCTCGTGTTGATGCCTGCGATGCCTCGGCGAATCTGAAATCGCCATGGAATGGAAGAACCAAAATTGAGAGAGAGAGAGAGAGAGAGAGAGAGAGAGAGAGAGAGAGAGAGATGAAGAGGATAGGATGGTGTTGATGGTTTTTGGGGAACTCTCGCATTCCTTGCAAAGATCTAATGGCTTGTTGTTGATGGTTTTGGGCGATTGTGGCTTTGGTTTAAATAAAAAATTATTTTTATTAGTTTTTTATATTTTATATTTTTAATTTTTTTTAACTAATTAAATAAAAATATTTTTATTCAAGTCTCAGTCCCAGTCCAGCATTATACCAAACACAGGACAAGTCTTATTAAGCTTAGTCCAAGCCAAGTCAATCCATGGCAGTACTTAAGCATAGTCCATGCCAAGACAGTTCTGCGTAACAAACAAAAGCATAAGGTTAAAATTTGAGTTATTTACACTAACACCCCACTCAGGTTTTTGACTTTTTCACAAAACTCTTTGAGCTTTTAGAAATTACAAGAACACCCCTTGAGGTTTTAAATTGTTTTCACAAAACTCATTTTCATTGATTTTTCATCCAAAAATTAGTGATTTTATACAAAACAATTCTCCAAATGACAAAGTTGGCATTGAGATTAGATTGCATATGTTTTTTTTTTCAATTAAATCATCAATTTTTGAACAAACAAACAACGAAAATGAGTTTTGTGAAAACAAATTGAAACCACAGGAGGTGTTCGTGTAATTTTTGAAACTTGAGGAGGTTTTGTGAAAACACAAGAAACCTCATGGAGTGTTAGTGTACATAACTCTTCAAAATTTTTACTAGTTTCATCATCTCGATATTATCAATATTATACCCTTATTTTGGCCAAATGTTGCTGAAGTGTAAAAGAAATTATAAACGTCGATATTTTCCGATATTATCGATACTTATACGATATGTGTATAGATATGTTCTAAAATATCCTAGACCCTAAAAAACAATAATATCCTCAATATTATCTATATTTTAGTATGAGATCAAGAGTCATTCCTCTTAAAAAAATGACATGTCGTCCTATACAAAACAATACATGTTTAGGGTTAACACATGTTTTTTTTTATAAAATAAAATAAAATTCTTTGAGTTAACTACATAAAACCCCCAAATTATAAGGCTATTTTCAAGTTCATAACCATTTTATAAGATATTTACAACTCTATACTCAAACTCCATGAAAATCTACCGATTGCCCCTCAGTTTGTCAAGCTGTGAATAGATTTGTTAAATGCTGTTGTGGTGTATGTGTGACAAGACCCGACTCAAATTCCACTTTGGAATCCGAGCTGAACCCTGTGCATGTCCGACACCTAGAGGGTGTTGGGCACAAATGACAGAACCCAACCCAAATTCCGCTTTGAAATCCGAGTTGAGCCCTGTGCGTGTCCGACACCTAGCAGTTGCCGGACACATTTGACCAAATTGCCCTTCTAACCAAACTTCAATGAAATTCGAGTACGACTTCTACCGAAAATCCGGCAGAGTCTCCCTTGTAAATTGGACATTTCCCAAAAATTCCCACCTGTAAAACAAGTATATATGTTTATCTATAACCCAACTACCAGCATGTATCGAATTATGTCCAAGAAAAACAAGTATAATATCATTATATTATTCTGGCCTCACGCCTCAACAATTCAAATATATCATTCTGCTAATAAAGTTCATCTCGACTTTCCAAATATCCACTGTACATTAGCAATCTCAAAGACTCCAACTTGTGGCTGCACCTTGTAACACTAGGCTGCCTACGTACCCTTACTGAGGGATCAAGCCACACGTAGTTCTACCCAATACTCATATCAGTTATACACTGAATATATATACGTCATACATTGAACAACCTCTCTTTTAGTTTAAGAACATCTCAAAACTGAAATTCTCTCAACTTAGATGTAAACCCCATTCCTGATTCGTCAATTCCATCCTTGCAGGCCTCGCTTGCAGCAATCCTCGCAGGCATTAGCCGCATTCCTCGCAAGCCTCAGAGACACTAAGTCAACTTGAGCCGCAATCCTTGCACCACACGGTCTAGGCGTCCCATAAACTCGTGGGCATTATCTGAAATAACCAAATTGTTTCAAGGCCACTAGGGGGTATTCTTACGGTGGGTTTGAAACTCATCTTCCAGAATTATCACAACTTTGCCCACAAAAACTTTTCTTATCTTTGGAACGGTCTAGAAGTGCCTTGGGACTCAAAAAGCGATAAAATTCCCACAAGTCTACCCGGGACCCCGTCGGGTCCACAACCTCCAAATTCCAATCCGAGAGTTCCTAGAGGTTCCAATATGCCTAGGACACATGTCCCGAGAGTTTGGCCTTGATCGGACAGTCGGATTACCCACGATCGCACGATCAGACAATTACTGTAAACCTAGCCATAGGGTTGGCATTTCCAGAGTATCCGAGACTCTGTTCTACGATCCGTCGAATCCTATATGATTCTGGAATTATCTAGATTAACATATATGAATTCGAGTTCAATCCAATTGTCCGAACCTACCGAACCCAAAAATCACACAATAGGCGAAATCCGCTCAACCCTCAAACGGTATCCAAATTGGAATCCGAGCTCACCTACGTGCTCGTGACAACTAGGAGATCAATTTAGCACTGAATGTAGCTCAACCATTCTACCCAAGCGCCGCCACACCCGCCGGCAGCACGTGGGTATCCAAAGCGATACCACTCACTGGAAAATATCAAAATCAAGGGCCAAGCTTCCTACCCTAGGTTGTGGACATCAATTGGAACCACTTTTGTTCTTAGACATACCCCAAAAAATGGCCGGAAGTGGCCGGAATTTCAACCCGAAATCTGACCAAAACTTAATTCTAAAATCAGTTTCCCAAACGTAAAATCAACCAATTCCTACCCAATAGGCAGCTAGAGTATGCAAAGAGGGTCCGAAAACATACCTAGTCCGACGAAGATTCTTGCCGGAATCGTCGCACCGTTGCCTTGAAAATCGGAGAGAAAACCAGTCGAAACAGTGAGCTGGAATCGAGTTTTCCGGCAAGAAAACCGGGTGGGTTGAGACGGCGAGGTCGAGCTGAGTCGATTGGGTCCAGTCTCGTCGGACAAGGTGGCCGGAAGTGGTGGCGACGTGGCGGTTTTGGTTTCGGTGAACAGTAGCCCCTCGTGGGGAGGGGTGGGGCGGAGAGAAAAATATGATTTTTAAATCTGATTTTCACAAAATTACGATTTTGCCCTTTTTTGTAATTTAATCGTATCTTTCTAGGTACAACTCGGATTCGGGCCCACTATGTGTTTACGAACTCGTTTCGACGCGATCTACGCAATGGTACAATTGGAATTCCCAAATTCCCAAATTCCTTCCTGGTCAAAAAGTTAACTTTTAAACCATTAAACTATCTCCGGGGTAAATTCGTCCTTTGCTTGAATAAATTTATAATTAAATATTAATTTAGGATCGGGTTGTTACAGCAAATGACCTAATTGCCCTTCAAACTAAAATCCAATTTTATTACAAGTTTGACTTCTGCTGAAAGTAAGAGACATGAGTGATTTAGTACCACATAGAGTTCCTATAAGGTTCAAATTTGAGTTATTTCCACTAGCACCTCTTTTTTCTTTTTCACAGAACACCCCTTGAATAATTTCTAGAGATAAAGTCTTAGTTATTGAATAATTTCTCAAGTTTGACTTCTGCCGAAAATTCGGCAGAGTCTCCCCTGTAATTTGATCATTTCCCAAAATTTTCACCTGTCAAACAAGCATATATATAACCCAAACGTTCAGCATGCTTTCACATAATATTCTAGCAGCCCAACATCAAAACGAAATGGCCTCAAGCCTGCAACAATCCTAGGGCAATATCAGAGCAACTATTCAGAATTTACAATGAAGCAGTATATTTACAAAAGAAATCCTACGTAGCGGAGAGGATGAGTGGAGAGGGTAACAACCTTGTGGTGACGCTCCAGTACACGACTACTGCTTGGGGGCGCAAAAAATTGAAAAATGTGAGTGGACCAAAAGTAAAGGTTTAGAAAATAGCATATGAACATACCAACCCCTCCGTAAAAATAGTTAGAAAACTCTATTATCTCAAGGTTCTATATTCATACAAAAGTCAAGCATGCATATTTATATTTATATAATCCTTCAATCATTCAAACAATACATCAAACCAAATGAAAACATCGAAAAAGAAATAATTTCCTTCCACCTAGGTGTGCCCATTATATATCTGTAAAATAATTCCTTAATTTTTCGTCAATTCCCACATTAATCCGTCAATTCCTCGTGTCACATTTGTTACACATCCTCGCAGGTCTCGGTAACACAAAGTTGACTTGAGCCGCAATCTTCGCAGGATTCAGGAGACATTTAGTCAACCTGATCCGCATTCCTCGCTCCGCACTGTCCGGGTACCCCTAAGACTCATGAGGCAAAAGTCAAGTGTGCTAACTAAACCGAAGGCAACCATTTTTATTCCAAAGGCAACATTAATTTCGAGGCAACTTTTATTCCGAGGCAACATTTTAATCTGAAGGCCACCTTGGGTACCAAAGGTGGTTTGAAAATAAATAAATTTTCTGGAAAAGATTAAAAGTTATAAAACTATTTCTCAATCATCTTTAAATCCTATTGCCATTCTTGAAAAAATTACAATTTATTTCTCATTGAGCCATTCACTCCGGTAATCACCTCATTTCCTACTTTCCAAGCCCTTGCATTTCCATTTGACTTACCAAGCCATTAAGCCAAATTGCTTCCTTTCTAGCTTCGGCCAATGCAATATACTCTGCCTCTGTGGTCGACAAAGCCGTAATTGGTTGCAGTAGTGCTCTCCAACTGATCGGTCTTCCTGCGCATGTAAACACATAACCAGAAGTTGACCTTCTCTTGTCCAAGTCCCCTGCATAATCAGCATCCACATATCCCAACACCCTTGCATTTTCTTTTTGCTTCTCAAACATAATCCTTTGTCGCCAAGAACCTTTCAAATAACGCAAAATCCACTTGACTGCATCCCAATGTTGCTTTCCTGGATTTCCCATGTATCTGGAAACGACACTGATTGCTTGAGCTATGTCTGGACGTGTGCATACCATTGCATACATAAGGCAGCCCACGACATTAGCATAAGGAACCTTCTCCATTACTTGCTGCTCTTCCTCGGACTTAGGACACTGTTGCCCACTTAACTTGAAGTGAGCTGCCAAAGGAGTCGAAACTACCTTTGCTTCTTGCATGTTGAACTTCTCAAGAACCTTCTGAATATACTTGGCTTGTGATATCCAAATCCTTCCAGCGGTCCTATCTATCTGAATTTCCATGCCAAGGATCTTCTGTGCTGCACCTAGATCCTTCATGTCAAACTCCTTGCTCAACATCTTCTTCAAGTCTTGAATTCTAGACTTGTCTTGACAAGCGATTAGCATGTCATCCACATATAGCAATAGCAATATGATCATCCCATCTTGGAACACATGATAGTACACACAACAGTCATATAAACATCTTCTAAAATTGATTTTCAACATGAAGTAATCGAACCTCTTGTACCACTGTCTTGGAGACTGTTTCAGGCCATACAGGGACTTCTTTAGCTGACATACTAGGTTTTCTTTCCCATATTCAACAAACCCTTCTAGTTGAGCCATGAAAATTGTCTCCTCTAGATCCCCATGAAGAAACGTTGTCTTCACATCCATTTGCTCAATCTCCATGTCATGCTGAGTTTCCATTGCTAAAAGCAATCTGATAGAAGTATGCTTAACTACGGGTGAAAAGATCTCATCATAATCCACCCCTTCCTTTTGTGAGTACCCTTTAGCCACGAGCCTTGCTTTGAATCTCACGGCATCTTGTTCATGTAGTCCTTCCTTTTTCCTAAATACCCACTTGCATCCAACTAGCTTTCTGTCTTTGGGCTTAGGAACCAACTCCCAAACAGAGTTCTTGTAAAGAGACTCCATTTCTTCTGTCATAGCACTTATCCAACTATCTCGCTCATCACTTGTTATAGCTTCTTGATAAGTAGTTGGATCTCCTTGACTAATGTTGAGAGCATAATTAACTTCGTCTTGGTCAAACCCAAACCTGTCAGGTTTCTTCTTGTTCCGATTAGGTTTGTCCAATGTTATGCATCTCTGGAATGCAGGTGGATTGTTGGTTGGAGTTCTAACCCTTTGGGAAGCCTGGCGGATTAGAGTGCCTTCAATCTGCCCTGTTTCTTGCTCCACCTGATTCCTAACTGGTGAACGATGTTGATGCTCTTCTTCTTCCTCAAAACCATCAAATTCGGCATCTTGCTCAATTTGCTCCACCTGAGCTGCTTCTTCGTCTGAATTGATTAACGGAATCTTTGTTGCTTCAATTTCAGCATCGTCTTTCTTCTCCCTACTGCTCTCGACTTTATTCAGAGGCATGGTTGTCTCATCAAAGACAACATCTCGGCTGACAACCTTTTTCCTGTTGTTGATATCCCAAAGCTTGAAACCCTTCACTCCTTTCTCAAAACATAAAAATATGCAATGTGTAGACTTTGGTTTGAGCTTGGACCTTTCATCACTTGGAATATGTGCATAAGCACTACAGCCGAATACCCTGAGCTTGGAATAGTCCACCGGCTTCTCAGACCATACCTCTTTTGCACTCTTAAAACCGAGAACTGTAGATGGTGATCTGTTAATCAAATAACTTGCATGATTAACAGCTTCTGCCCAAAAATTATCAGGCAATCCTGCATGAAATCACATGCTCCTCTCTCTCTCTCTCTATGAGAGTTCGGTTCATCCTCTCAGCAGCTCCATTTTGTTGGGGATTCTTCTTTACTGTGAAGTGCCTTGTGATGCCTTCCTGCTTGCAGTAATCGGTAAACTCATTACTTGTATATTCACCTCCATTGTCACTTCTCAGGTACTTGATCTTTCTTCCAGTTTGATTCTCGGTTTCTGTTTTCCATTCCTTGAACTTTGCAAAACCTTAGATTTCTGCTTCATGAAATAAACCCAAACCTTCCTAGAAAAATCATCCATGAAAGTAACAAAATACCTGGCTCCACCATTTGATTTGGTTGGTGCAGGGCCCCAAACGTCTGAGTGAATATAGCTGAGTTGCTCCTTGCTTCGGTTATCTGCACTGCTACTCGTGAATGATACCTTCCTTTGCTTTCCAAGAACACAATATTCACAAAAGTCCAGTTTGCAAGATGACACGCCTTTCAATAGGCCTTGCTTGTGTAATTCTTGCAACCCTTTTTGGCTTATGTGCCCAAGCCTATGATGCCAGAGTTCAGTCTTGTCTTCTATACCTTGATTTACAGAAACAGCTGCTCCCCCGACTATGGTGGTCCCAATTAACTTATACAGCTTATTGGGCTGTAGGTCACCTCGCATTACCACCAGTGATCCTTTGGCTACCCTGAGTCTTCCCTTTTTAGACTCATACCCATAGCCAGCCTCATCTAAAGTACCCAAGGAAATCAAATTCTTTCTTAGTCTAGGGACATATCTAACGTTCCCCAAAACTCGTATCATCCCATCAAACATTCTGATTCAAACAGTGCCGATTCCTTTTACAGGACATGAAGAATCGTCCCCCATTAAAACTTCCCCGCTGCTGACTTCTTTGTAAGTATCGAACCATTCTCTTACTGCACACATATGAAAAGTGCATCCGGTATCCAAAATCCAATTTGTGAAAGCCTTGGAGCTTGATGTTACTGAAAGAAGCTCCCTGTCACTCTCATGCTCGGTGACTGCACTAGCTGAACCTGAGCTTCCTTCCCTCTTGGCTTTCTTCTCTTTCCAAATCTTGCAGTTCCTCTTCCAATGATCGGCTGAACCACATTCGAAGCAACCTTCCTTCTTTTCCTTTTTCTTCTTGGATTTTGACCTACCTCTGTTGCCTGTTTTGTCTTCCTTCGTCTTTTCCCGCCCCCTCTCCTTGCCTTTGGCATAAAGGCCTTGAGAGCTTTCAGTTATATCATCTAGTTTAGCATATGACTGAAGAGCTTGAATCACGTCTTCAAGCTTCAGGGACTCTTTTCCAAACATTAGAGTTGTTCGAAAGTGCTTGAAAGACGAAGGTAGAGACCTTAGCAAGATGATAGCCATATCATCATCTTTGTAAGTTTCTTCGACCTTTTGAAGATTAGTTATGCAATTCTAGAACCTGCATACATGATCTTCAATATCACCTCCTTCTTCCAGTCGAAGTCCGAATAGTTCATCCTTTAGAAAAAGTTTATTGGACACGGTTTTGCCCATATAAACATTCTCCAACTTTTCCCATGCTTCTTGGGCAGTCATCTTTTCAGTGATATGTGACCGAACTGATCTTGTGAGATGGATCTCGATGGAACTCTTGGCCTTCTAGAGAACCTTGGTCCATGTTGCGTCTGTCATGCCTGTCGGCTTCTCACCGTTGAGTGCATCATCCAAATCTTGCTGTATCAGTACGTTCTTCATCATCCTTTGCCAATCCATGAAGTCATCCTTGCCGTCAAAGGGCTTTAACGCAGGTCCTAGATCTGCATTCATCTTCCCTTTAGACATCGTAGAACCCTTAACCTAGGCTCTTGATACCACTTGTTAAATAACTCGCCTTCTAGATCTTGTTCTTTGATGTAACCAACAGCAATAGACTAAACTAGCAAATATTAAAACACTTAGAAACACACAAGAATTATACTGGTTCGGCAGAACTTTTGCCTACGTCCAGTTGTGATTTCTCTAGGTAGAGAAATCACCGCTCCTTTGATTAATAATAGAGATTACAGAACTTTTGCAACCCTAGAACTAATCTCAAAACTCTTGGCTGTCTCTGGCTGTTTTTCCTCTCTTTAAAATAAGCCTTGCCACACCCTATTTATAGATATAGAGTTGGCTTACATGTCCCAAGGCTGATTGGATTCCTATTCCTAAGTGGATTAGGAAATTACACTTATCCAAATCCTAATAGACTTCTAGAAATCCAAACCTGAATTGAATAAGGAAAACTGAAATTCTTTCCTAATCCCTCTAGGACAAGAATTGGTATACCTCTAATTTTCTTAAAACAATCCTAAACCAACTAGGACATATTTGACGAGCCAAAATCCTAACAATAATAATGTGCGGACATCTAGATAAGAGAATAACTGTAGGAAAAAATATCTAAAAATTTACTCTTTTTTATTTTTTTTCTCTATTCTCTTTCTCCTCTCTCTCTTTACCTGACCTTCTTCACCCAAACAACCACCCACCCCTACCCATAAACCCACACAAATAGAAAATATTCAATATGTTTCCAATGTGCAAATTAGAACAAAGATGACCACTGCGACGGTCGTGAAGACTCTAAATGCGGATCTGATTCAAAATTTGAAAAATCATTACCACCAAATGTGGTGATAGTTCACCTTCTTGGCCTTATTCAACATATTTTGAAGACCCTATGAAGACATATTGTCTACGCTACTACAAAAATCGAAATAGGCGACGGGAAACCACCGTGTGTAGAAGGTTTTCCAACTGACGTGAAATCGATTGCCATCTTTTGTACAATCAACAATGACGGTTAATAACCGACGTTGTTAAGGAATTCAACGTCCATATTTATTACTAACCGATGTGTAATTACTATATAATTAGCCTAAAATGAAATCTTCGACAACATTAGACGACGGTTTTATGAAAAAGGAGACATCTAAAGACTGTTACATGTCATGATCCAAAGAAGAATCGACGTACAGATAATTATCCATTTCTCTAAATGAAGGGAAAAAGACTTGGATAAGCTAGAAACCGTCGTGGTTAACATTTACTATGTTAAAAAAGAAAAAGAAAAAAAAGAAACCGATGTGTGAACCATAAACAACGACGTACACACAAACCAACAGACGTTTAAAGAGTATTACATGTCATTTGTCTTTCAATAACCGCCGTAAAATAAAATAACTACGTCATGCACTAGGCATCACCGACGCTTATGTATTTATCCACGTCGCGAACTATAATACAAACCATCGTATTAACTTGTTCACACATTTGTTTTTTTTGAGATTCGTCGTTTAAATAAAATAAAGAAGGCCCTTTAACATAGGTAGACGTCACTTTTTCTAAATAACCGACGTCTAAAATATTTAAAATGACAGAATATTACTCAATATCGACGTACAAAACTCTCCCCCACATCGGTTTATGTCAAGGGCTGACGTTATAAATAATATTTAAGGCGTGGATAGAAACATAACCGACGTGGATTATAGATTCAACGTCTGTTTCTTTAAAACAAAGGACGTGGTTAATTACTTCACTACGTCTAGAGATCCACATACTTGACGTTGTAATTACTTACCAAGTCGGTTCTTATTACATAATGACGTGGTTGTCCTTTTAAAAGTCGCTTGTTTGACCTGTCATGACGTATGTATGCGCGGAAACGTCAATTGTTATAGACTAGCAAACGTGCAGAACATCTGTCACGACAGTTAATGGAACTGAAAGGCCTTTATTTTGAGGTTTAGACGACGGTTTATTTTAAGCAAACCGTCTTGATTTTTTTTTAGATGTCTGTTTTTTTGTTTTATGGTCTGTTGCCTTTTGAAACCCGATGTTGTTTTTATCTTAGACGTCTGTGTTTCCAATTTTTATCTCTGACCGTCATACTTTACAGCTTTAACCCAGCTTTTTTAATTTTTGATTTGTCTTGCCCAAAGCCTGCATAATGAAAATGTGATAAGAATTAAAATGTTGTACAAAATTATTAATTAATGTCATACAATTAACTGAATAACTAAGGTCATACATTACAACAATCAATCAATCCATATATCTTCACACCCATCTCTAATATTTTCATTCCCAAACTCACCCACTAGGTCATCAAATGTGTCAACATTTGATATCCCTCTAGTAAATGGCTCACACTCAATTCTAGTATCACCTAGCACATCATCACCAATAACATCATTATATTCTCTATTAGGCATTGATAACACTACCGACCAACCACGATGCATTGGGTCGTCAACATAAAATACTTGTTTGACTTGAGAAGCCATAACAAATTGGTCATTCCTATGTCCAATTTTACTCAGATCTACAAGGGTAAATCCAAGTTCGTCGAATACAAGGCCCGAAGTGTTATCTATCCAATCACACCTCAAGACTGGGATTCTAAACTTTTTGTAGTCAAGGTCCCAAATTTCTTGAATAACACCATAAAAAACCCATATTAAAGACAATAGGGTTTTTATCCTTGGCACTAGCAACTTGCATAGTATGTGCAAGTAAATAAACTCCACTATTTTGGACAGTTCGCACATCATCTTGTGCCTTGGTGTTAAATTTAACACCATTAATAAGATAACTCCTATATGATGGCACTGCCATGCTTGGACCAGCTGCTAGCCACCTCAAATTTTCTGATACGCCATTATGCTCTTCCCCATTAAGTTTACTTTGAACCTGCAAATTAATCATATATACCTTAATTCAATCTAACATATAGAATGGAAGAAAATTAAAAGTTGATGCATGTCATTCAATAACATATATATACTTTAAAGTGGAGCCATTGAATGAAAGTGCTATTGTGCTTATCTTGCAGCCACTTTGTTCTCTTTCTAAATTTTGGATAAGTGGTCTTGATGTGGATCATATGTTCCCTACATTGACACCAAAAAATCAAGCATTATGATTCTTTGTATATAAGATAAACATAAGGAATAATAATGTTTAAAATGGCTCCATATGAAAAATAAAAGTCATACGTACTCGATATAAGGCAGGACTTCCTCTGTATTCTCCAAGACATATAAATGTGCCTAGTTTAACAAGTCCCGATCAACTAAGCTTATTGTGCAACCTGATAATGGCTTCGAAACTCCCATCTTCTGGCTTGAAGGCACTCCAACTGTATTAACTTCAAATAAATGCTTGGTGGAAAACTCTACAGCATCTTCAGCTATATACCGCTCAGCAATGCAACCTTCTGGACGAGTACGGTTCTGAACATACCCTTTTAGCACTTTCATATACCTTTCAAACGGATACATCCATTTAAAATATACTGGGCCACATAGACGAACTTCTCTGACAAGATGTACTACTAGATGAACCATGATATCAAAGAATGAAGGGGGAAAGTACTTCTCAAGCAAACACAAAGTAACTACTACATCTTCTTCCAACTTATCTAGCTTGGAAACATCCACCGTCTTTGCACACATAGCATTGAAGAAGAAGCACAATCGAGTTATTGCATACTTTGCAGGCTTCTCCAAAACAGAACGAATTGCCACAAGGAGCAATTGTTGCATCAAGGTATGACAATCATGAGATTTAAGTCCAAGAAGTCTTGAATCTTTTAAAGATACAAGATTTTTTATATTTGAACAATAACCTTCAGGGACCTTTATACCATAGAAAGAATTGCAAACCGCTCTCTTCTCTGCTCTTGAAAAATTCCAAGGCCCTGGAGGCAAGCGAGTACGTCTTTGTCTATACTCGGGTTGCAAATCAGTTTTGACCCCCATGTTCAATAAATCTAACCAAGCAGCAATCCCATCTTTATTTTTTCCAAGGATCTCCAGCAATGTACCAATGATACTATCGCAAACATCCTTCTCAATATGCATAACATCTAGGACATGCCTCACATGAAGGTATTTCCAATACTCGAAATCAAAGAATTTTGATTTCTTCTTCCAACAAACTCTGTCACCATCATTCTCACCAACACTTCCCCCATTTTTCGAGCCCCATATGTAATTAATATCTTCAACAATGTGCAACACTTCTTCTCCGTTTAATGGCTCGGAAGGCGTGCCATATTCAGGTTTCCCATTAAAAGCTGCACGCTGCCTCCGATATGGATGATTGATTGGTAACATTTTCTATGCCCAATGTAACAAATTTTGTGGTCATTTTTCAACCTGTGACTAGGTGTATCATCGCCGCATATTGGACAAGTTTTATATCCTTTAACAATACAACCAGATAAGTTCCCATATGCAGAAAAATCATTAACTGTCCACAATAATACACCTCTAAGTGTAAAGTATTCTCCTATATGTGCATCATACACTCCTCTAATCCCATCCCACAAAGATTTTAAATAATCAATCAAAGGCTCTAAGTAGACGTCTATATCATTTCCAGGCTGTTTAGGACCGGAAATCAATAAGGTCAACATCATGAACTTCCGTTTCATGCATAGCCATGGTGGGAGATTATATGTAACTAAAATAACTGGCCAACAACTATATCTGCTACTTAAAGAACTGTGGGGATTGAATCCATCAGATGAGAGAGCCAATCTTAAGTTTCTCGGCTCTTTACCAAACTCGGGCCATTTATCATCAACAAGTTTCCAAGACAGGGAATCCGCTGGATGAGACATTTGACCGTCAACTGATTTTCTAGCAGCATGCCAAGTCAAACTCTTAGTTGTCTTATGTGATTGAAACATTCTTTTACACCTTGGAATTGGAGGAAAATACCACACCACCTTCGCTGGCACACCCTCTTTCAAGATTGAATCTTTGCCTTCCTTCCACCTTGAGACACACATCACTCATCCCATGTTTTGCTTTCAAATTATATAACTTCACCAAAGACGACAACATCGTGTACTTACTGCTACCAGGGTACAAGGGTTGATCTCCATCCCCAAATCACATTGGCAAACTCATAAGGATCAAATCCAATATCGCCTAAATCATTATCATCCATCCCTACTTCTTCAGAAACAAAACTGAACCCACATTGCTCATCCTTTTCCACATTTCTACTAGCATTAGTAGTCCATTCCAAAGGTTCTCTGTGCCATGTCCAAATCTTATAACTTTGGTCAATTCCATTAAAGTATAAGTGGTCCCTTATAATTCCAACTCCAAACAATCGAATATTCCCACATTTAACACATGGACAATGAATATGAGTTGTATTTAAAAGATTTTCTACAGCAAAATTCAAAAATCCTTCCACACCTAACTCATATGCCTTCGATCTTCTATCCGCATGCATCCATGACTTATCCATCTCACACATTATTAAATCATACATATAATAAAGTGAAAAGACCAGTAATGAAACACTACTATATTGACAGAGAAGAGAACAAAGTGGGAAAAATGAAAAAAAATTGCACAATAATCAGACGACGGTTTGTACAAAATAATCGTCCCGTAACATATATTAAGATGACGGTATGTCTATTTACCGTCGTCTTTAAGCAAACAACAAGATATCTGTATTATTTTTTAAGAACAGGGCTGGGTTATGGTCGACTAACAACGACGGCGGTAGTAAATAAAAAGCCGACATATAATAAAATTTTAGACGACGATTGGTGAAACCAACCGTCGTCGTGGTTTACAAAAACCAACGCCTAATTCTTCCATCCCCATTCCATTTCAAAGAACCCTTAACAGAATGCAAACATCAAAACATAAAAGAACCCATGTATAGCTCCCAATCAAGAACCCATAGCTCCCAAAACATAAAAAAAACCCATATTAAGAAACCAAAGCTGAGAGAATATACAAACTAACAAAATATTTAGATAGATCTAAGAGAATATACAAACTAAGAGAATATTGAGAGAGTGCTGAGAGAATATATACAAACTAATAATAAAAGAATATTGAGAGAGATCTGAGATAATATACTTACATGGATATTGAGAGAGAGCTGAGAGAAAATATCAAGTGCTTGAGAGTGCTCTGAGAATATACCCAATGCTTTGAGAGACAGCTCAGAGAAAATACCCAATGCTTTGAGAGAGAGCGAAAACTTTAAGACCAATTTAAGTTGAAGAGAGAGAAGGAAATACTTTAGGGTTAAATGAAAATTCGGAAAATTATAGATCCCGGTCAAAAATTTCAAAGGACCGCGTTTATTAAAGACAACGGTAAATACAACCTAGTATTCGTTTAATTTCATATTTATAACGACAGTTATTTTACATTTATGACGTTGTATTACGTTTTGACGTCGCTCATACATGTAGGGGATAGATATTGTCTCAATGAGTGCACAGAATTTATCAATTTATTTTTCGGATTTTTTATGAATATTTTTTGAATATTAGTAATTAAATACAAATAAAAATAATTTCAAAAATTAAATTTTTTAAAGATTTAGGGGAGATAAAATATTCCAATGAGTGCATAGTAGTTGTCAGTTTATTTTATGGAATTTGTTTTGAAATTATTATGAATATTAGGAATAAAATATTAAATGTTAGACAAAAATTGAATACAAAAGTACATAACAGACGTTGCATCAGTTTACAACGACGTTAAGTAATGTATAACGTTGTCCTAGTAAATATTAAACGTCACAATTTAATAACCGCCGTGTTTAGTTATTTACAACGTCTATTACTATTCTAATGATGACGTTGTTTGTGGATACAACGTCAGTAGTTAACCTGTAACGGACGTTCTATGTCTCTACAAATTTTTCTTAGATTTCAGTTTTTTAAAGAACCTGACGTGTATATCAACCTTAAATGTCGTTTTTGAGAAATGCCGTCAATGTTTTGTTTCCCGCTATAACAAGACGGCGGTGGTTTATATATAAGACACGTGTAAAAATGAATGAGACGTCGGATTTTGGGAATTAATTTACATTTTTATGATTTATTTTCATTTATTTCATTTTAACACATTTTTACAATATGTTTATATACATTGTCAAAAAATTAAAAATAAACCTATACATTTTTAAATAAATGTATATTATCAATTCTTGTTTTGTGACCACCAATGGATCACATAAACCTTAGGGTTATGTAATATGGAAAGTATAATGACTATTGTGCTTTGTCTCTAAATCATTTTGACTTTTGTTATCACTTCTAATTTTGAAATCTAAAATTAAAATTTTCAAGCATATAGGGGATGGATATTGTCTCAATGAGTGCATAGAATTTGTCAGTTTATTTTTCAGATTTTTTATGAATATTTTATGAATATTAGTAATTAAATACAAATAAAAATAATTTTAAAATTAAATTTTTTAAAGATTTAGGGGAGATAAAATCTTCCAATGAGTGCATTGTAGTTGTCAGTTTATTTTATGGAATTTGTTTTGAAATTATTAAGAATATTAGGAATAAAATATAAAAGTCATACAAAAATTGAATACAAAAGTACATAACCAACGTTGCATCAGTTTACAACGACGTTAAGTAATTTGTAACGTCGTCCTAGTAAACATAAAACGTCGCAATGTAATAACCGACGTGTTTACGGATACAACGTCATCATTTAACATGTAACGGACGTTGTATGTCTCTACAAATTTTTTCGTAGATTTCAGTTTTTTAAAGAAACCGACGTGTATATCAACCTTAAATGTCGTTTTTGAGAAATGCCGTCGATGTTTTGTTTCCAACTATATATAAGTGACGTGTAAAGATGAATGAGACGTCGGATTTTGGGAATTAATTTACATTTTTATGATTAATTTTCATTTTAGTTCATTTTAACACATTTATATTTTATACAAAAAAAGATAAAATTAGAAACAAAAATATATTTCATTTGATTTTTTTGATGAATGTTCAAATAATTACTAAAAATATGTTTATATACATTGTCAAAATTTTAAATAAACCTAAATATTTTTAAATAAATGTATATTATCAATTATTGTTTTGTAATTGCTTGTTCACGAATTCTGCCCATTCCAGCCTGACTTCGTCAATATGTTCTTGAGTATACACAACTGGTTCCTTTTTCTTGTCAAACTGCAAATAAAGAACAAAAACCGACGTGTTAGAAGCAATAAAACGACAGTTTTGAAAGCAAACGTCGTGGTATTAAAATAAAGAAATTATATATTAAATTTTACCTTCTTCTCAAAGGCTAGGGCTGGATCATGAATTATATCTCTCATGAAACGTATCATGTAATAGCCACACTCTACATTTGTTGGTTGTCTAGGAGTGCCTTGTAGATTTTTCCATATGGGTGATTTACGTGATGATTGTTTCCCTGTGTGAGAGTTATACATTTTGATTGAACTGTATCAAGAAAACAAAAAGTGTTAATGACAAAACTAAAAATCAGCATCAAAATTATTAACCATTGTGGTAAATAATTGAAGACGATGATTTTGTAAAACAAATGACATTGTATTTTATATACAACATCGGAAAATAAGAACCGTCGTTGTGTTTCATTCTAACGTCGGTGACGAAGAAAAACGACGTATAACCAAAGTCCTAAAATTAAAAACAAAATCGACGTGGTATTTCAATTACGATGATGGTTTCAAGAAAATACTAACGTTGTAAATGACTCAAAACGTCGGTTATAATATACCATCGTTGTGTCGGTATTGGAAAAAGCCGTCGTATCAATCAAATGCAGATATAAAAAATCATAGGTTTTCATTAAGAAACTTATGTATTCACTATATTTCTCATGTCCTCGTCAACAGAGCGGTTTGGCAATGAATTCATGTAATAGACAGTCTCCTTAGTTGGTCTCTTAAATATACTACAAAAAAATATATTACAAGGAACCAATTAAGTGTAGAAGGGGACTAACCCTGGATTATAAAAAAATATATTAAATATACTACAAAAAAATATATTACAAAAAATATATTAAATATACTACAAAAAAATATATTACAAGTAAAATTGATCCCCATCTGCCTTTTTCAGGCTTTCTGAGAGATGTTTTGAGCGGTGAGATAATGTTCCAGATTGAGAGCTGACTTGTCCACGGTCCACAAGGCCAACAAGTTTTACCATATTTGCCATTTTTAAATAATCGAATAGGTACCTAATTAAATATATGAAATTCAATTAAATGATATTTTAATTTAAAAGAAAGAAAATGTAAAAAAAATAAAATTGGATTTCTAGAATTACCTCATGTATACTGCAATCACTATGGCTCCAATCTCAACCATGGAAGCAAATTGTAAAATGTCTTCATCAGTGCCAAACATTTCCTCAGGCATATGAACTGTAATGGTCTCGTTAGCAGGCTTCAACTTGGTCTCGACATATTGGCATAAGGCTAACAAAGGAGCTGGCATGTCAAGCTTTGAGAGATCCTGTAACAAGAAATAAAAGTTAGTGTGTTCATGAAGTAAAATAAACGACTCCAACAAATCAACAAAACCGACATGGTATATAATATCAACGATAGTTTCTAGAACATACTGACGAGGTAAAGGTTATAGACGATGGTATGCATAACAGTCGTTGTGTAAAAGTTATAAAGTCGCTACACAATAGAAAGATCGTCTAGGTTAAACTAGACGACGGGTTTTAAAATAAATATCGACGTCTATTTAAAATTTAAAATTCAGAAAAAGCAAGTGTCAGAGATTTTACTGTTTGATCTTGACAGTTTTCAGCAGCATCAGCATCAACATCATTCATAGGATTGTCTTCATCCAATTCAGGGGCTCTCACATTAGAGCAGCTTGCTTTATTAGACATTGGATTTTTTGGGCTTTGCTCTTGAGGAATTGGAGGAATTGGAGTAATTGGTGTAGTTGGAATTTTACTGAGCATGTTGGGATCAAAGTTGGGAATTAGTTGACTGAATTGTTTCAACATAATTTCCCCTTTTGCTCTGACTGCCTCCATAACACTTTCCTTTGCCCTGGCCTCCATCTTTTTGGTTTCCTCTCTCACTGCTGCCATAACACTTTCCTTCAATTTGTCAGCAAATTTTACTCTCTGCTGTCTCGGCAAATTGAAGAATTGAGTTGGGGAAACCCCAGCTCCAACACCTCTGACCCTCCCACCATGCTCAAGTGTTCCCAAAGCCATGGTCAAAACATCGTTGCTTCCGGAGACAGTCAGAGTGCCCTCGGAGACTTGTTTTTTCAAATCATCCTAAAAGTGAGAGAGAGAATGTCAGTGAGTGAACATATAGTAAAACTGAACAAATAAATAAATTAATAAAAATATTAACCGACTTGGTAAATAGGTTATAACGACGGTTTATTTTAAAAACAGACGCATAAAATAATTTAATACGTCGTCCCAAAACTACCGTCATTTTGTATACATTAAGACGTCAGTCCATGAAATAACCATCGTTTATTTGACATCATAGATATTTTTTTTTAACCAAAATATTCACTGATCCAGAAATAGTGTACAAACCAATTGTAGAGAAATAGAGAGTGTGTGTGCGTGTGAATATGAAGAAAGTTCAAAATTTAATTTAAAAAACCTTATACAGAAACACAAAACCGTTGTTGTAATTCAATGAAGACGTCGGTTTTATAAAAAACTGACGTTATTTATTTTTTAAAAGGCGCCAATTAAAAACTATTGTGGGGTTTCGTGTCTAACGACAGTTGATAAAAAGACCGACGTCTGAATGAAAAATTAAACCTCTGTTTTACAAGTTTAGAACGGATTCAATGAAACTTACGATTAATTTTGCCTTCTCTGCAACCTTTGGATCAGGGATGTTTCCCTGTTTATCTTCTCTTGCCCTCTTCCATAGTAGAGATCGATCGATTTCTTCACCGGGCATGGTTTCGTCCAATTGATCCTCCAAACCAACGTACCCTTTTCGAGACAACCTATGGTTGTACTCGCATTTCTCCCTTCTCTGTGACTGCTCAGAATGCACAGCCTCAAAATCTGGGGATAACCTTGAAGCTACAAAGGCATCCCATTCAGATTTCTCTATGAAGTTATAAAGCTGAGGGGGCTCTTTTAACTTCTCCTTCTCAATTGCGAATGGAAGGATAAACTGCCTAGTTAAGGTAGACTTAAAATCCTTCCATTTTTTGGTGGCAGACGATAGCACCATCTTCTTGCCCCCCTCCCCAACAACATAAGCCATTTGAACAGCTTCCCAAATCTACTCCTTCAAGTCCTTGGGCAATTGAGTCCATTTCTTGTCCACAAGAGGGACTCTGGTGTGTGCCAAAACACCAATGTAACTCTGCATCTCAATAGCAGTTTTGCCATATGGTCTGCCACTTTTATTGTACTCAACCACAAGCTTAATCTTCTGGATTTTCTCTTCACAACACGGCTCATTGTGTTGATACCGCGAGTCGATTTCGTCACTTCATCAAATGTCGTAGAACTTGGGTCTTTCTCGGAGGAGGAAGTAAATCTCATCTTCCTTGTAGGATTGCTAGGAACAGATTTGGATTCAGCCATTTATGCCTATGAAACTGCAATGTCCTTGCCTTGACCTTTTGCAGCTTGAGTGTCCTTACTTTGAGATTTCGAAACCATGTTTAGAGAGAAGTACAAACTGCAAGAAAAACGACAACGGTTAGGTAAAATACAGACGTAAAATGAAAGTTCGGACGACGGCAAACAAGTAGAACCGTCGTGCTAATCTATAGAAATGTGGATGTGCTAATATGGCGTGGTCATTAACTTAAGACGACCGTAATTAAATACAACCGTCGTCGTATTATAAGTTCATAAATAAAAAAACCGCCCTATTTTTCTCTCCCACGTTCAAATAAGACGACGGTTTTCTCTTTTAAAAGACGTATTTATTAACACACCACGTTGGTTATTATGAATTTAATTATCGTCGTGGTGTATCAACAAAAACGTCGAATTCGATAAAAACCCGTCGTCCTCACATGAACTGTGAGTGGGAACAGTGAAAGATTTGGCCTTTTCATACTCTAGTCTTGTTTCAAACATCAGTGCAACTCGTTCTTTAAAAAAAAACTTCAATTGAAAGGGAAAGTGAAGAAAAAAAAACGGAGTGAGAAAATACCTTTGGCTTGCAAAGAAAGTTTTCTTTGGAATAAATTTTGGAGACGAAGACGAGGAAGAACGTAAAAGAGAGGGAAACTAAGAATGAGAAGCGCAGCTTTTCGGAAATGAGAGGGAAATTGAGAGAAAACTGAAAATTTTAGAGAGAACGTAAAAGTTTAGGTCAGGTGACCAAAAAGTTTATATAGTGTCCCAAAGGTAACGACAACGACGGTCATCATAAAAACCGCTCTAGTATGTACTTACCACGACATTAAAATAACATCAACTGATGTGGTTAATAAAAAAGCCTTTTGACTTTTTGTATTCCGAAAACGACGTGGTTAGTTGGGAGCTACATGTCAAAATTTTACTTTTAAATAAGTAATATTATAAGTTACCACGTCGTTTTTGTATATTAAACCGACGTGGTTTTCAAAAACCTTGTTGACTTAATTTTAATAACCGACGTTTTTTGTATGTTTAATATGTCCTACTTTTTTACATAACCGATGTTGATTCGTTATGAAACGGCATTATTTTAAATTTAACCGACGTGGATATGAAATACACATACATCATCAATCTCTAAAATATTGTCTCTCTGAATCCAAATCTATGGTTGCCGTCGTCAAATTTTAGAGGCAATTGCTTGGATGTTGATGTGTAACACACACACATCATCAACTTCCAAAAAATTGCCTTTCTAAATGCAAATATGTGGCTACCGTCGTCAAATTTTATAGGCAAATTTTTGGATATTGATGTGTATGTGCCTTTGTGTGTCTTAAAGACAAGAAGACACATACATCATCAACCTCTAAAATATTGCCTTTCTGTGGTCCGATTATGATGAGGAACAGAGTTCCATATGGTAAGATTTCGTAACTCTTGGGATCTCAGATGTAATTATGTCGGCTGTTTTCTATATAAACCGTCGTGGTTATTCTCAATTTTTGACATTAAGTTGATCCACAGATGTAGGATGACAAAATTCAAGAATTTTTTTTAAAAAAAAATTACAATTAACACGATGGTTTAGATATAAGGTCGAACGTATAAAGTTAATAAATACGATGGTAATTTTAACTTCACGACGTATATCTTGGATCTCAGAAAAATCTATTATGTCGGCGGTTTTCTATATAAACTATCGTGGTTATTCTCAATTCTTGTCATGAAGTTGGTCTACCGTTGTAGGATACCAAAATCCAAGAAATAAATAGTAAAAAATAATGTAATTAAGACGACCGTTTAGGTATAAGGGTAGACGTATAAAGTGAATAAATACGACGGTAATTTTAACTTCACAATGTAGTAAATTTTATTACACGGCGTTAATTGAACAAACCAACGTGGTTAGAGTTAAAGATACCGTCGTAGTATGGAACATGAAATAAGTCGATAAAATTATATTTTACATCGTTGTACATGTATTTAAGACGGCGGTATTTTGTAATATACCGTCGTGGATTCTTTTGAAATTATGCGACGTCGGATAAGAAAACTTGGTCGTGGTTATTGATAGGCTTTTTAGTACCTGCGCAAACAGGGTTAAAACTCCTACAAAACTTGCAAGAATGACAAGGTTATTGTAGTATAAATGATTCTCGCAAGGTCGTTCTCCGCAGGGATTATTAAATAACTCGTAGCAACCAAATTCTAATTAATTATTGCAAAAGAGAAAGTTGAGATGTTTGATTTGAAGACCTTAAATTAAAAGGAATTTAACTAATAAAAATAAGGCAATATGCAAAATTAAAGCTAAGAGCAAGAGAAACAGTTGTGTTTTTAGAAATCAAATTAAGAAAGCACTAGGGATCCGCCGTCACCTTAACAATTCTATATAGTTCCCCCAATTACTTATGACCTATACATGCATATTTCGAAGGTTAGGTATTCCTAATATATGCCTACTTGGACCCCCAACATAGAGCGTATATCACACATGCAATCCGTCTGTGGTATTTAGATCAAATCTAAACATACATGACTCATTAAGTTCTGTGAAACCTTTTGAAAAACCATGCAACCCTTAAGACGTGGTATTCATCCTAAGTGAACTTGCACATATTAATCACAAGAAGCCTTCGTCAATTTCAGGGACCGACCTCCGACCAAAACTGCATCAAATTACTTTTCTAAACATCCTAATGGTGATCAAGCATCAAGACACTTAGATAGTTTAACCCAGTGATGAATAATTCGAAAACCTGCATGCATATAATCATAAGCAAATTGGACAGAAACTACATATTCTTGCTAAGGCTCGTGGCCTCACCCTAGCAAAAGAGAGTTAGTTACGCATGTTCACAATTGAAATCCAAGAAAATATCATTAAGAAGAATAAGAATGAAAACACCTGAAAGTCGCGAAAATCCAAAACCCTAGCAATTGCTCCAAAAGCCAAAAAGAAGTAAAAAGGGAGTCCCTAAATTGCTGTGAAAAGGAGCTTAAATACCTCCTAAAACCTAGCTGCCCAATCCCCACAAGGAAACTAGGTTAAAATAAGATAATACTAGGATATAAAATCCAAATTGGATTAGGAGAATCTGCCCAAATCTGCCCAGCCACGTTTTGGTCTCAAATCTCCTCCAAATCTGGCCCAAGATAGCTCGTTTTAAAGATAAAAATATTCCGAACACTTCTCCAGAAGGCCACGAACCCATCCGAGGTCATCTTGGGCTCCAAAAACGCAATAAAAGCCCAAAACGTCACTGTTCCAGCACGGCGCACTGTTCCTTTATTTATTCACCAGGAAATCATCGCTTGGTGGAAAAGTCTGAAATTCTGACACAATCAAGCTAAGTGACTCACGAACATCCTCCAACTGGAATTACTCCAAAATTTGTCAATTTGATTATGTTTTGCTCCAGAGGGAGTCAAAAGTCCTATATTGGAAATATAATTTAAAGTATCAAAATTCTTCCAAAATATTAACCAAAATATACTAAGAATGGGGTTAAATATATAATATAAAATTGACTCATCAGTTATTCCGGAGAAAAGACGGCGGCTATTTCTTTAAACCGTCGTCTTTACTTTTTACATTGGTTGATTCATACCTTCTTCCGTTGTTTGTGGGCTCCGAGTTTACTCTGAAAAAAAACCTTTTTCAATAAGACATCGCTTTTTAAAATAGGTGTGTCGTGTTTTAAAAACAACCATTGGATTCCCCATTTTTAAGGTGTTTAAGTTATTCTTACACGGCGGTTTTATAAAACCTTCGTCTTTTCAAACACAATGACGGTTTTCCGTTAAACCGTACTTTTTTTCTGGTCGTCTTTTTCACTTTTTGTAGTAGTGCTAGGGTTTTGAGAGGTGAAGATAGAGAAGACCCATTTGCATTTTCTGGCATAGACACCAAAGTATGGTCATCTACGACTTCCTTGTGATTACACTTTCAGCCATGGTTGCTCAAAGAGCTTCGAATGAATGATGAAAGGAAGGAAATGGATTTCTTTAGGTTTGGATTCGAGATCAACGCTTACAAATAAATTCGAGGGAGAATATTCGTGGAGGATCCTCTTCTCTCTCAATCCTCTTCTTCCTCGAACCCTGCAAAATAAATGACGATCAATGACGAACACCCAGGGTTGTTGGCCAAAGGCCCTTTGATGCCTAATGTTTGTACAAATTTCTCACCGGAGAATATTCGTGTGTAGATTCTTCACCCTTCGAGCTTCCTTCTCTCTCCTCCTCAGTTCATGCCAAACAAATAGGAGAAAAATACCACACTCGAGGGGTGTTAGCCAAAGGCCCTCTGATGCCTAAGTTAGTTCTTTCGAGGCAAAATGGACAAAGTTTTCTCTCGTGGGGAGAGCCAGGTGGCATGTGTTATGTGTGATGACACTTAGTCGGGTGGCGAGAGAGAGTGAAAGGTGTCTCTCTTAGGTTTTAGAGCTAGGTCTAGAATTACCTTGAATACTTGGTGTAGCCATGTATTTATAGGCTCCTTGTGTGCTAGGTTTTTGCAAAGAATATTTTACTATTTGGAAGAAAAATATTCTTTCCCTTGAATGGAGAGATTGAGTCAGTTAGGACTTTCAATTAGAATCAAATCCCTGATTGATGATAATATCTCTCAATTTTGACCTATGAGATATTCTTCTTGTCCACGTGGCACCTTGCGACTGGAGTGCCAAGATATTTGCTCCCACAAATACCTCCCAACTTATGCCTAGCACATGTGTGGCATAGAGGAGGTGATAAATATTTATTGGGTTGTCCAACTGCATCTGGGCTTCCTTCTGCGACTTAGGTTCCTAATCGGAGGAGGCTTTTGATTTATTCTTGGTGTAGGGGTCAATCACGAGATTGGCCGAGGAGCTATGTTGTGTTTAGGTTAGCTTGGACCAGGTAGTTATAGAGTTGGCCGACTAGCACAATGTTTTCCTATGGTATGCCTCGAACTGTTGATATGCTTTACTCACATACCCAAAGCTTTGTTATATATGAGTTCTTATGACCAACAGACTTATGTCTTCTGCTTACAGTTGGAAGAGATCAATAAAAGGCTTGATGTCAAACCGGACATGGCCAAAGTTTGCCAGGCCATGAAAGCAGGAAGGTGGTCTACCCCCAACTAGTGATGTTGAGAAATGGAAACATCGTGGTCTCGACTCGGATGATTAGCTCGACTGAAGGAATGAGTCCTCAAGTGGCTCGTCTGGAACAAGGAAGCATGTTCCCCATTATTGTTTTCTGGATGATTCTTTTACTTGAGGTGAGCAAGATACCGCCACAAACAAAGATATGGTCGGTAAGCAAGTAGCTGGTGAAGCGATGGCTGATGAGTCTGCAATCAAGAAGGGCGCAGCTGATAAAGCTGAGGCTGATGTTGTGGAGCTAATAGCAAAAGCTGACGAGCAGGTGGCTCATGAGACTGTTGCTGAGCTAGGCGAAGCCATGGATGTCGCAGTTGATCAGGCGAAAGCTGAGGAGGTCATTGACCAGTAGATGGAAACTCTTTTATCTTTTCAAGCTTTATAATGTGATTTTCTGTTTATAATAATTGGTCTTATTTGACCATCTTCGTTCAATTGAACTCGGCCAGTTTGTCACTTTGCTATTAAAACTTCAATTGTTTCTTTTACTTCAATTCGTATTTTGTCTTGTGAATTGCCTTAGTGACTAGCTGAAGTCTTGGTTGTGTATTTCCCATATGTTTGAATGTTTACCCACTGCTTGCTTGAAAGGTGCTCTTCTAATTCTCCCTTAGCTTCATGTTGTTTTCCATGCATCTCCCTTAGGACGCTTCTTATGGGTAACGGCCTGGTTGGCATGCGTCTCCTTTAGGAACTTTATGGTTGTTGTCATGCGACTCCCTTAGGATGCTGCTTATGGGCGGTGGCCTGGTTGGCATGCGTCTCACTTAGGACGCTTCATGGTTGTCGCCATGTGTCTCCCCTAGGATGTTGCTTATGGGCAACAACCTGGTTGGCCTGCTTCTCCTTTAGGGCACTTCATGGTTGTTGTCATGCGTCTCCTTTAGGAAACTGCCTATGGACAACTACCTGGTTGGCATGCGTCTCTCTTAGGATGTTTATGGGCAATAGCCTAGTTGGCATGAATCTTCTTTAGGACGCTGCTTATGAGTGACGGCTTGGTTGGCATGCATCTCCCTTAGGACACTGCTTATGAGCGACATCCTTGTTGGCTTGTGTCTCCTTTAGAATGCTTCATGATTGTTGCCCTGCGTCTCGCTTATGGGCGATGGCCTTGTTAGCTTGTGTCTCCCTTAGGATGCTTCATGGATGTTTACCCACCGCTTAGTAAAGTGTGTCTTCCTCTATTGAGGGTTATCTTTACCTACCCTTACTTGAAGAGTGTCTTCCTCTGTCGAGGATTATTTTTCCTCACCCTTACTTGAAAGATGCCTTCTTCTGCCAACGGTTTATTTTTCTCGAACACTTCATTGAATGAAAAATTGAACTTTCTTCGAATTGAAGTGGAGTGGACTTAGTCATCTGCTAGGAACTAAGCTATTCTGCTTTGTGGTAGTGCGATAAGCCCATAGGACTCCAGGAAGCTCATCATACCATTTTTCCTTGGCGCCTTTCAATATTTAGGAAAAGAATTCGATGATCTCTTTGCCAATGAATTGCTATCTGTTATCGGTGGCCAGTGATTATAAGCAACCAAACTGACAGATGATGTTCTTTGATATGAATCGCCCCACATCGATTTCTTTAGTAGAGGATAGAGTTTTAGCCTTAATCCATCTAATCAAGTAGTCGGTGGCCATAACCGTCATCTTCTTGTTGGCATGAGCCGGTGACATAGGACCAACTAAGTTGATAACCAATTCCATGAATAGCCATGGTCTGTTCAACAGATGACACACTGCGACAGGTAAGCTAGGAACCAACTTGTATCGTTGGCATCGATCATATCTTTAGACATACTCTGTAGAGTTATGGCTCATGGTATGCCAAAAGTAGCCTATGCTTAGAGGTTTTGGGCGATCTTTTGGGCGAGTGATCTGCTCCCAAAGTGATTGCACTCGTTGCCGTTAATTTTGCAGAGTACCTGAAGTGTTTGAGGATATTTTACGCATGTGAGATGAGGGTCGTGGTGTGTTCTACAAATTGAGCTTGTTATCTTGCATGTAGTATCTCATGGCTTTCTTCTATTTCTTCGATGCTTGGCTGGTCGAGGTGCTCGATCGAGATGAAGCATTTGACCTAGGTGTCTAGCGCTGATCCTAAGCTTGCTAATGCATATGCATGAGTGTTCTTTGCCCGAGGAATTTGTTGGATAGTGAAAGTTGGGGAATTCCTTCCAAAGCACTTGGACTTTGTCCAGGTATTGGATTATTCTCGGGTGTTTTGCCATGTACTCGCATGAAGCTTGATTTGTGATCAACTGGGAGTCTGAGTAGATGGCCAATTTTCCAGTGTGATGGACTTATATTTTGCTTCTTTGTTAAAAGCTATAAAGCCCATTGTTAGAAGCTTGAACGCCCATTGTGATGGCTTGTTCCAAGAAAGTTCCATTGGGTGACATGTCCGCTCCAACTCCCTTGTATTTGATGCTCCATGTTTGGGTAGGTTTGGATTAGCAAAGGAGGTGTTGTCTGCTCTAGAACTTTCCTTGTTTTTGTTCACCAGTTTTATGTTTGTTTCTGTAATGGTAGGGTAAAGTTCCTCATTGCCTTGAGAACCATTAACTGGTCAACAAGTCAACTTTCTTTAGTATACGAGCGTGCCACTGCTAGCGATGAAAAATCCTATCAGACTTCTTAAAAATAGATAACTTGTGCCTCAAGTTACTGATTTCTAAACAAGCGAATGTGAATTTGGGTGAGGAATATCTCCCAAGTAAGTTCTTTTCTTGCCTCAAACTAGTGAGGATTTCACAATTTTTCACAGTATAAAACTGGTAGTTCTGGCCAGAATAAATGATAAGAAAGTGGACTGTTTTTAGGCTGGACTTCTATTTCTGCCTGGATAGATGCTTCTGATCCGGGCTAGACTGGATATGCCGGTGCTGGACTGGACTATCAACAACTTCAACTATTAAGCTTCAGCTGCAAATTGATACCAACGTTTCGAGTTTGGCAGAGCTTTAATCTATTTCAAGCCCTGGAAGGCTTTTTGAACGGGCAGAATTGGGACCTCTTGAGTCTGAAAGGAGCAGAAATGGTTGGACTTGAGGATTACTGAGCTGGAATTGCACTGTGGTACCTATTCTGCTTGATCAGGTCTCTCCATAAATTTATTGAGGTTTTCATATTTGTAAAAACTTGAACTCTACTTGATATGGCTTTTGCTGAACCAAATTTGTATCGAGAGAAATCTCGTTTTGAATGACTTATTTCTCTAAGTCTGAACTGGAATTGGAAGTTTTTTATTTATAGCTGGCTTCTTTCTTGTGGCTCAATGAGCTTTTGGTTGCTTCAGTTTTTTTTGAAGGTTTTTTTGAGATCAATTTGAGTTTTTTTGTTGTTTTGGTTTTTTTTTTTTTTTTTTTTTTTTTGTTTTGTGCTCCGTTCACCCTCTCTCATATTTATAAGAAATGCTTGGAGTGAGGCTTCTAATCTTTTAATAATAGGCAGCAAAATTTCTCAAAAAGATCTTTTATTTTAAATGCAAAGAAAAAAGGTAAGTTATCTGTTCTGGCAGATAAACCGTCAACAGTCAGTTCTAAGGCAATCACTTCCTTGTTTTTCTTGAAAGGAAATCTAACCCCTCTTCAAATTTAACTACTCTTTGTAAGAGCTCAAACTGTGACGGTTAGTTTGATTTTCCCAGATGAACAACTCCCTACTTCCTACTTATCTCTTTTAGAAAATATAGCCTACTTATCCCTTGGAAATGGTACCTGCTCTTGGAGCAGAATTTTTTTGAATATAGAAAAGGGATTTTGATATTCTTTTGACTGAAAAGGCTGGAGATTTTTGCCTATTTTAAGACCTGTTTCCATTAATTCCCATCGACTCAGTTGAGATTGCTAACTTTTCAAAGTTTTAGGTAGTCACGTGGGTTTGGCTCCAATTTTGGGCTTTTCTTCTCTTTAATCATGCCAAGCCCAGGTCGAGTTTTTTGGAGTTATGGGCTGATTTCTTTCTTTTTCGAAGCCTAATGTTATTGTCGTGTTTTGACAAATCCTGGGCTGGGCTTTCTTGAATTTTGGGCCCTCGATTCCTGCTTAATCGCAAAAATCCAGACTGCTTGGGTTATATGGTTTGTTTTGTCATTCTGGGCTTTCAGCGTTGGGCTGGGTGCGCAGAATTTTGGCCTAAACAGTTGTTTAAGACAAGCTTCTCTTCTTCGGCTATTAGAGTAAACTCTACAATAAAATCTGCTAAAGTCGGGGCTTTTATAGCAGTCTTCGTCAGATAGAGGAGGCCATACTGACTAAGTTCGATGACCTATTTCATGAGTCGCTGAGAAGCGTCGAGGTTGTGAAGAATCGATCTTAAAGGAAATTCTATCATGGTAATTATTATGTGAGCTTGGTAGTATATTCTTAACTTTCTCCCATAAACTATAAATGAAAAAAATGAGCCTCTCTATTTTTGAATAGCAAGTCTCGGCATCTATGAGGGCTTTGATATGTAGAATACAGGATGTTGTGCCCTTAGCTTTTCTTGAATGATAGCTGAGCTGACTGTTGAGTTGGACACCGCTAGGTAGATGAACAAATCTTCGCCTGGGATGTGCTTTGAGAGTATGGGAGGTGAAGTGAGCTACGTCTTCAAGTTTTGAAAAGCGACTTTGCATTCTTCTTCCTACTTGTCTCTTTATCATTTCTTTAACACTTTGAAGAATGACATGCACTTATCGGTAGATCTCGAGATGAATTTGTTTCAATGATGGGAACTCACTCGAGAGCGAAGTTGCGTCTCTTCTGTGCCACTAGCTTATTAGCTGGATTAACATATAGTCAGTGACTGATGATTTACGTGTCAATTTCGGGCATGTCAGATGGAAACCATGCGAACACGTCGTTGTTGTTCTAGAGGAAGGTAGCAAATTCCACCTTCTCTTATGGGCTTAGCTCGAGCCAATCTGCGCTTTTCTTTCTGACTTGTCAGAGGGGTACTAGTTCAAAGTCCTTTTAACCTTCCATCCTTCTTCAGGAGAGACCTTCAGACGAATTCCCTTGACTTGGCCCTGACTCTTTGATTGCTATTAGGATAGTTATCCCCTTTCCTTTCTAGTCTACTCGACTGTTAGAAATGGGATCTACTTCTAGAGGAAGGTGGTCAGCTCCACCTTCTCTTCTAGCTTAAGTGAGAGCCGATCCGCTTTTTTCTCTCTGACTTGTCAAGATCAAGGGGTATTCTTTAAGAGCGACCTTTGGACGGATTCTCATGTCTTGGTCTTAACTCTTGATCTTATTGGGGAGTGGATGTTTATTTTTCCTACTGGTCGACCAGACTTAGGGGAATGAAGTCCACCTTCTCCTCTGCCTGTTTTTTTTCCCCTTTGGTATGTTTCAACTTATGGGAATGAACTGGGCCTGCTTGCTCTTCTTTAGCCCTTGTGCTAAGCATATTCTCACCATTGCCCGATCAATGTTGATCCACCCAACACCGCCACTTGGATGAGAATCCTTCCTCACTCGCCGTACCAACAAGAATATGTTTTAGGTGAGAGTAGTTTAGGGAAAAAAGGGAAAGGTTTTGAGTGCGTTGGATATTAGCTATGGATTTCACCTTGGTTTTGACCTAGCTATATACATTTATATCGATTTTGAATGCATGTTTTTAGCATCGTTTTCCAAACGGTGGGGTTATTATGTTGTTTTTAACTATGTGAAAACTTTGTTTTTGTCCACCCACAAGTTTTCTGTTTTGCGCCTTCCAAGCAGTAGTTTGAGCTAAGTCGAGCGGCCAAGCCAAAACCTGAATTTCCAAGCCTTGAATTTCTATATGACTATTTTTATTTCCGTTGAACTTAGTTTCATTTGTAAACTGGATTCCTTTAGAATTGCTCTGTTATTGTCCACGTTAGGGTGAATGTAAGGCCGGAGGCCTATTATATAAATTGCATGTTTTATATTGTATCTTGCTGCTGTTGGGATTATTTTAATGTGTTTAATAGGTTAAATTTTTTTTGGGAAAGTCTGTTTTTCAAGGGAGACTTTACCGAAATTTCGGCAGAAAGTCTCAACCCTCTTTTCCTTGATTTGGAGAAGAGGTTATGTTAGTAAGTGGCCCCAGCATCAGGTGGATATCGGAAATATCACAAGATCCGTCACAGATTCCGAGGAGTTCAGGGTGGGTCCTGTTATAATATCTCCCAATTTTGGCCTAAATAATCCCCCAAATAAATGGTCCTGATTATTGACCTAGGAGATATTCCTCTTATCCAAGTGGCGCTTTGTGATTGGAAGCCTGAATATTTGCTTCCACACCTAAGTCAATAAAATGGTCGTAATGAGATATAGATTTAATTAAGTCATGAGAGAGTTTTGCTAGGGTTTCAAAATTACCTCATGTTTGGTGAGATGTCATCTTTATATAGAGTCTCCATCTTTGGTAGGGTTTTTAGAGAATAATTCCCTATTGATGGGGAATTATTCTTTTCCTAAAATGAGATGACAAGATAATGTCAAGGAGATTTGGTGAAAATAAAATTCTTGATTTAGGGAGATATATTCCAATATTAAATCACAATAATTTGTTAACTAAATAGGATGTAATTAGCACAATTATTTGACCTAAAGAATATTCCTTTTTTCATGTGTCACCTTTTGATTGGTTGCCAAAATTCATGTTCCCACAACTCGTGTGGTCCTTCAGGAGTAATTTCTCCCCAAAAAAAAAAGGATGACATGAGTCGTGATACACTAACACGATAACACGTCTTTTTTTTTTAATAAAAGTTTTTGTTCAAAATTTTGTTTAACTCAAGCTTGGATTTTAAGTCATGCACTTTGATACGCCTATATTTTATGTCTCATTTACTTATTTATATGTTGATTAAATTGGTTTTTTTAATTGGTTTTGTGAGATTTGTGAAGCAATTGTGGAAATTGGTTGTTTTAATTGGTTTTTGTCCTTTATCATCTTACCACCCACCCACCCACCTACCCATCTTCTCTGGTGCACCCAAGACTTATTACTACATAAAACCCTTCAAATTATGGGGTTATTTTCAAGTTTATACACATTTGTAAGACCTTTACAACCCCATACTCAAACCCCTATTAATAAAGGCTCCCAATTATATAGATCAATACATTTATAAAATACTTAAAACTTCAATTTCAATAAGTCAAATAGCATATTAAAATGTGTCTAATAATCTACCTCTTACAAGATAGAGTTAATTACACTAACATCCAGTAAGGTTTGTAGTGTTTTACAAAATCCCCTCAGGTTTTGGAAATTACACTAACAACTCTTGAGGATTCAAGTTGTTTTCACAAACCCCTTTCTTTAATTTTGGGTGGAAAAAATTGATGGTTTCATTAAAAATGTATCTTCAAATGACAAAGTTAACTTAAACGATTAGATAGCAGGGGTGTATGTGCAATTTAATCTCTGAGATAAACATTGTCATTTGGAGAAATATTTTGAATACATCAACAATTTTTAGGTGAAAAATTAATAAAAGACGTTTTTTGAAAATAATTTGAAAATTCAATTAGTGTTAGTGTAATTTTTGGAATGTCCAGAAATTTTGTGAAAACACCAAAAAGGTCTTAGTACAAGATATTAGTATTGCACAATCTGACCAAGTCAAAAGCCGTGTTTCGTCAACAGTCCACGCACACTTGAACATTTTTTTAAAAAAAAGATGCCATATTGCACATGTTTGGAAATATACATCTGGTGATGACTTTGTCAAGTTTTTTAGCCAACCCTAAAAATAATGGCACCTGTTATCCAGGAAATGTTGGAAATATACATCTGGTGATGACTTTGTCAACTCACATTGAAGCTGAGTTAGCAAAGGCACCTGTTATCCAGGGAATGTTGGTGGTGTTCTTTGCTTCCACCGACGATATAATTTTAGAATTAGTAATATCAGTATCGGGTCTGGGTTCTGAGAGAGGGAGAGACACAGAGACACAGAGATTTTTAAAAAATGATTTAAACATTAAAATATTTTTTTATTAATTTTTAGTCCACATGGAAGTCAAAAAAAAAAAAAAAAAAAAAAAAAAAAAAAAAAAAAAGTCACTTTTGACTCGTCAGCATTTAATAGATTGACTAACAATTTGGCTAACGGATGATGCAAATTGTATGGTATCCATGACGTTGAGCATGTACTTGTAAATGTCCCCAAAATCATATATGAACTCGTAAATAACCTTATAAATTGGGGGGGTTTTATGTAATTTGTCCTTTATTTTATTTTGCCAAAGTTCCATTATTGTTATTATTATTTTTTATCAAAATTAGGAAGAGGTGGGGAACTCTCACATGACTTTCGTGGAGACTTGAATCCTGATGCATACCATAAAGAACCATTATTTTTAGGGTTGGCTAAAAAACTTGACAAAGTCATCACCAGATGTATATTTCCAAACATGTGCAATATGGCATCTTTTTTTAAAAAAATGTTCAAGTGTGCGTGGACTGTTGACGAAACACGGCTTTTGACTTGGTCAGATTGTGCAATACTAATATCTTGTACTAAGACCTTTTTGGTGTTTTCACAAAATTTCTGGCATTCCAAAAATTATACAAACACTAATTGAATTTTAGTAACCCAAGCTTCTCAAGAACTCGATACAATCAAGAGTCATGACCGTTCTTAGATCTTGAATACATATTTTTGTATTTCACTCCTCCAATGACCACGGAAAGTTCCTCTAATCTTCTCTCTTCTTCTTCTTCAACCTCTGGATGGAAGTACGATGTCTTCCTCAGTTTCTTCCTCGGTTGGAGCCGCAGTGACAGCTGCAGAAAATTTAAAGACCATCTGTATGCTGCTTTGAATCAGAAGGGAATATTCACAATTGGAGATGATGAATTGGAAAGGGGGAGGGAAGAAGCCATGCCGCCAGAGCTCTTTAAAGCAATTGAAGAATCAAGATATGTAATTCTTGTTCTTTCACAAAATTACGCCAGTTCAACTAGGTGCTTGGATGAACTTGTAAAGGCTCTTGAATGCACAGAATCGATGGGGCAGACAATACTCCCAATCTTCTATGACGTGGACCAATCTGAGGTACGAAGACAAACGGGGAGCTTTGAGGAAGCCTTCTCGGAGCATGAACGAGTCTTCAGGGACAATATGGAGAAGGTGTACAGGTGGAGAGCGGCACTTAATAGAGTAGGTAATCTCAACGGATGGAATTTGCAAGGCGGGTAAAGCTACTATTCTTCTTGTAGCATTCAAGTCCATTTCTATACTTTGTTTTATTTTCTCACTCTGCCAAAGAAAATAAATTTATTTTCTTCCTTCCTCGTCCGCGACTTTACAAGAAAAATGCTTACTATGATACCAGTTGATGCAGCACAAGTACCTGATAAATGGATTAGACAAGCATCAAAATTTAAGGACCACAAATCTGAAATTCTTTAGGTTGAGAAAAGTCCCAAATTTTGATTGATAGTATGAAAGATGGCCCAAATAACTCTTGAAAGATGATGAAAAAATAGAAGCGCTTGCTTCAAGTGTGCCTTAAAGTTGCATATTGCCCTATTTTTGCTTTAATGTTTTCGTGAAGTTCCAGGTTGCTCTTTTTCTTCTTTTGTTTTTCTAATGCTTGTCTTAGTGCGAAATGCTTCTTTTCTGTACTTCTACATACATTCTTAACCAATGTCTTTTTAAGTTTCTTGTTCTCAAGTTGATCCATAAATTTATTCGTTAATCGTTCTATATCACTGCATCCCTATACCGTTTCAAAGAATATCAATGCCAGCATAAGATAAGTATGTCATGATTCATTTTACCTTCAGGGTACTTTATTCATCGATCTCTTTCCAACATTCGAGATAAGTACATGTTAGAAATGTTGTTGTCTTTTTGGTCTAGAGATGTTGAAGGCACCTCACCAAAAATGGCGTATTGGTTTAGACGGTGATATGACAGCTTATTAATCATTTATTTGTTTAATTACAGATTTGAATCCAGAGTTATTCAAACTATTGTCGAATGGATTTTCAATGAACTAAATGAATCGATCTCAAGTGTATCCAAGGATTTAGTTGGGGTCGATTCTCGCGTGAAAGAGGTTCTCTCATTCTTGGAGTTAGAGAAATGGCCGGGTGATGCTCAGATAATAGGGATTTCAGGGATGAAGGGTATAGGTAAAACAACTATTGCACGAGTTGTTTTTGACAGCATCCGTGCTAGGTTTGAAGCTTGCAACTTTCTTGCCGATATTAGAGAGGTAACTGATAAACAAGGTCCAACTCATTTACAAAAGCAACTTCTTTCAGACTTGCTGAAACGAAATGTAAATATATGGAATGTTGAAATGGGAATAAATGTACTAAGGGAGAGACTACACACTAAAAAGGTTCTGATCGTTCTTGATGATGTGGATCAGTATGAACAATTGGCAGCATTGTGTGATCGTAGTTGTTTTGGTTTAGGTAGTAGGATCATCATAACATCAAGAGATGAACGTCTGCTGAGCACATTTGGAGTGGATAAAGTATACGAGGTTGAGCCGTTAACGGACGAGGAAGCTTTTAAGCTTTTTAGTTCGAAAGCCTTCAAGAAGGATGTGGTTGGAGAAGAGTTTCTTGAGCTATCAAAGAATGTTGTAGAATTTGCTAACGGTCTTCCATTAGCTCTTAAAGGTTTGGGTTCGTTCCTTTTTGGTCGAAGCATAAAAGAATGGTCAAGTGCGTTGGATAGACTGAAGGAAAATCCAGCAGAAAACTTATTGATGTACATGAAGTAAGTGCGGATAGAAGAGAATTATTTGGGAATCTTGCATGGTTTTCTAAGAAGAGGACAAGGATAGTGGGTTACAAGAGCAAGTGGAGAACAGTGTCAGTTGGAGCTTCACAACATTAGGACATTCTTGGAACACTTGTTCACAATTTACTTTGAACTTTGAATATTTGAGGTGTGTATTAAAAGAACAAAAAGGCTTTTTGTCTATTTTGGGCATTTATGTAAGTGGATTTTTGACTGTGTTAAATTAGTAGCTATTTGTTTGTGATTGTGGAGTGGATGTTCATCCTTGCGAAGTAAAACTGGTGTCCATAAAAACAAAAGTGACAACATTTCAAATTTGTTAATTGCATTTTTACATCATGAGATTTACCTACAATTGCACGTTCACACCAATGTTTGGGCCTAGAATTTTATGTATTGGATAATGGCCCGAAGGATGAGTCCAGTGTTTGACAAATGGTATTGGGCCTTTAATTTTGCGGCCTGTAATAACTTGGACTGGATTGTATTTATGCAACTAATTTTGCCACATCAAATTTAATGTTTGGTATTTGACAAATGATGTTTAAATGGTTTCTATTTGTTCCTTTATTTTTGAGAATAAGCGATTTCATTGATAGAAAAATAGGATTACAGATTGTCCTCCACCAAATCATGAACATAGCAACAGGTGGTCCTGAAACCATGATAATGTTTCTGGTAAGGAGATAGCCAAACGGGCTACGCGATGCGCTACCTAATTAGTTTCTCTAAAGACAAAACGAATATAAATATCTTCTAATTGGGAAAGTAAAAGTCTACAATCTAAAAACCAAAAACTCAAAGGCAACCTCTCTTCATGCTCAGCTTGGACAGTCCTTGTCACGTCTTGCGCATCTCCTAGACACTTGCCAATAGCATTTCTTTTGCTTGAAGGATATTTTCTAAATCACATGATATGGTTTCTCTCCCTCCCTTGCTTATGTTTAGTTATTCGTATATGGTTCCACTCTTTCTCTTGTCCATCTATCTATTACACATTATGGTTCACTTATTGTATTTCTTTTCTTTTTGCACTTTTTCTGATTGAAAGAAGGTTTCAAAACTAGCTTAGCTTTAAGTGTACCCACAGTCTTAAATATCGATATTATCGGTGATATTTCGCCGATAATATCGTTTTTTTGAATGAGTGATATTTTAGCCCATATCCACTTAAATATTGTCAATATATCGATATTTTCGTTGATATTTTCACGATGATGTCGGAGGCGATAATTTCCTACTTGTTCGTGCTTTATTTGGGCAATATATCGCGATATTATTGAGATCGCTTTTCTTTTTCTTGAAGGATATTTTTTGAATCACATGATATGCTTTCTCTCCCTCCCTTGCTTATGTTTAGTTATTCGTATATGGTTCCACTCTTTCTCTTGTCAATTTGTCTATTACAGATTATGGTTCACTTCTTGCATTTTCCTTTCTTTTTGCACTTTTTCTAATTGAAATAGGGTTTCGGAACTAGCTTAGCTTTAAGTGTTCCCACAGTCTTAAATATCAATATTATCGGTGATATTTCGCCGATCATATAGTTTTTTTTAATGGGCAATATTTTAGCCCATATCCACTTAAATATCTTCAATATATCAATATTTTCGTTGATATTTTCGCGATAATGTTGGAGGCGATAATTTCCTACTTGTTTGCGCTTTATTTGGGCAATATATCACGATATTATCGAGATCACTTTTCTTTTGCTCGAAGGATATTTTCTAAATCACATGATATGCTTTCTCCCCCTCTGGTTCCACTCTTTCTCTTGTCAATCTGTCTATTACATATTATGGTTCACTTCTTGTATTTTCTTTTCTTTTTGCACTTTTTCTTATTGAAATAAGGTTTCGGAACTATCTTAGCTTTAAGTGTACCCACAGTCTTAAATATCAATATTTTCGGCGATATTTTAGCCCATATCCACTTAAATATCGTCAATATATCGATATTTTCGTCATTTTTGCGATAATGTAGGAGGCGATTATTTTCTACTTGTTTGTGCTATATTTGGGCAATATATCGCGATACTATCGAAATCGCTTTTCTTTTGCTCGAAGTCTATTTTTTGAATCACATGATATGCTTTCTCTCCCTCCCCTGCTTATGTTGAGTTATTCATATATGGTTCCACACTTTCTCTTGTCAATTTGTCTATTACAGATTATGGTTCACTTCTTGTATTTTCTTTTCTTTTCGCACTTTTTCTTATTGAACTAAGGTTTCGAAACTAGCTTAGGTTTAAGTGTACCCACAGATTTAAATATCGATATTATCGACGATATTTCGCCGATAATACCGTTTTTTTGAATTGGTGATATTTTAGCCCATATCCATTTAAATATCGTCAATATATCGATATTTTCGTCGATATTTTCGCAATAATGTCGGAGGCAATAATTTCCTACCTGTTCGTGCTTTATTTGGGCAATATATCGCGATATTATCCCGATCACTTGTCTTTTGCTCGAAGGATATTTTTTGAATCACATTATATGATTTCTCTCCTTCCCTTGCTTATGTTTTGTTATTCGTATATGGTTCCACTCCTTCTCTTGTCAATCTGTCTATTATAGATTATGGTTCACTTCTTGTATTTTCTTTTCTTTTTGCACTTTTTCTTATTGAAATAAGGTTTCGGAATTAGCATAGCTTTAAGTGTACCCACAGTCATAAATATCGATATTATCGGCGATATTTCGCCAGTAATATCGTTTTTTTAAATGGGCGATATTTTAGCACATATCCACTTAAATATTGTCAATATATCGATATTTTTGCGATAATGTTAGAGGCGATAATTTCCTACTTGTTCATGCTTTATTTGGGCAATGTATCGCGATATTATCGCTTTTCTTTTGCTCGAACGATATTTTTTTTAGTAAAATGATATGCTTTCTTTCCCTCCCTAGCTTATGTTTAGTTATTCATATATGGTTCCACTCTTTCTCTTGTCAATCTGTCTATTTCAGATAATGGTTCACTTCTTATATTTTCTTTTCTTTTTGCACTTTTTCTTATTGAAATAAGGTTTCGGAACTAGCTTAGCTTTAAGTGTACCCACGATTTTAAATATCGATATTATCGGCGAACAAGTAGGAACATTTAAAGCTATGCAAGTTCCGAAACCTTATTTCAATAAGAAAAAATGCAAAAAGAAAATACACGAAGTGAAACATAATCTGTAATAGACAGATTGACAAGAGAAAGAGTGGAACCATATACGAATAACTAAACATAAGGAAGGGAGGGATATAAAGCATATCATGTGATTCAGAAAATATCCTTCGAGCAAAAGAAAAGCGATCTCGATAATATCGCGATATATTGCGCAAATAAAGCATGAACAAGTATGAAATTATCGCATCCGACATTATCGTGAAAATATCGGCGAAAATATCGATATATTGACGATATTTAAGTGGATATAGGCTAAAATATTGCCCATTCCAAAAAAAACGATATTATCGGTGAAATATCGCCGACAATATCGATATGTAAGACTGCGGACTCACCATAATTTGACTCAGAGCATCACTGTGACAAAATTAAAAAAAATTAAAAAAATTAATGGCAAACTCACCAGAATTCGACTCAAAGCATCACGACGACGATCACTGACGTCGTCATCGGGAAGAGGATGAGCAGTAGAGTCAGCTTTGTGCAAGACGTCCTTACGAAGTTGATCAAACTTAGAAATCGGCTATCACTACAAAAAATAAAAATAAAAAAATAATGGCAGACTCACCAGAATTCGACTCGGAGCATCACGGCGACGATCATCAATGTCATCATCAGGAAAACGATGAACAGTAGAGTCGACTTCGTCCAAGAAGTCCTTACGAAGATGATCAAACTTAGAAATCAGCTATCACAGCAAAATAAAAAAAATAATGACGAACTCACCAGAATTCGACTTGGAGCATCACGGCAACGATCACCGAAGTCGTCATTAGGAAGAGTATGAATAGTAGTGTCAACTTCGTCCAAGAAGTCCTTACGAAGCTGATCAAAATTAGAATGGAGCGGATCAACCTTAACCATTAGCTCCACAAGAAACATCTCCAAAACTTCGACACGAGTACGCATGGTGTTTGATTGAGTGGACATATGAATCATACTCGAGTAGGGTGATAACAATGGAGGAAGAAAGAGAGAGAAAGATGAGAGAGTATATAAGAATGAAAAAGAAATCAGGAATTCAAGAATGAAAATGAAATCAGGAGGAATTCAAGAATGAAAAAGAAATCAAGAATTCTTATATTTCTTTCTTTTCTAAATCTTATTTATTGATTAATTACTTCATTAACAGACTACAAACAAACACTCATGTAATAGACAGCTCAGCAATCCAGGAGCTCATGATCATACCAATGACTATCAGACAACTCAGCAATCCCCAAAGGATCTAGAAACAGAACTGGCTAAGATAGTTTCGAAACCATATTTCAATAAGAAAAAGTGCAAAAATAAAAGAAAATGCAAGAAGTGAACCATAATCTGTAATAGACAAATTGACAAGAGAAAGAGTGGAACCATATACGAATAACTAAACATAAGCAAGGGAGGGAGAGAAAGCATATCATGTGATTCAAAAAATATCCTTTGAGCAAAAGAAAAGCGATCGAGATAATATCGTGATATATTGCCCAACTAAAGCACGAACAAGTAGGAAATTATCGCCTTTGATATTATCGCGAAAATATCAACGATAATATCGATATATTGACGATATTTAAGTGCATATGGGCTAAAATATCGCTCATTAAAAAAAACGATATTATCAACGAAATATCGCCGATAATATCAATATTTAAGACTGTGGGTACACTTTAAGCTCAGCTAGTTCTGAAACCTTATTTCAATCAGAAAAAGTGCAAAAACAAAATAAAATACAAGAAGTGAACCATAATCTATAATAGACAGATTGACAAGACAAAGAGTGGAACCATATACGAATAACTAAACATAAGCAAGGGAGGGAGAGAGCGTATCATGTGATTAAGAAAATATCCTTCAAGCAAAAGAAAAGCAATCGCGATAATATCGCGATACATTGTACAAATAGAGCACAAACAAGTAGGAAATTATTGCCTTCGACAATATCTTGAAAATATCGATATATTGATGATATTTAAGTGGATATGGGTTAAAATATCGCTCATTCAAAAAAACGATATTATCGGTGAAATATCGCCAATAATATCAATATTTAAGATTGTGGGTACACTTTAAGCTCAGCTAGTTCCGAAACCTTATTCAATAAGAAAAAGTGCAAAAAGAAAAGAAAATACAAGAAGTGAACCATAATATGTAATAGACAAATTGACAAGAGAAAGAGTGGAACCATATACGAATAACTAAACATAAGCAAGGGAAGGAGAGAAAGCATATCATGTGATTCAGAAAATATCGTTCGAGCAAAAGAAAAGCAATCGAGATAATATCACGATACATTGCCCAAATAAAGCACGAACAAGTAGGAAATTATCGCCTCCGACATTATCGCGAAAATATCGATATATTGACGATATTTAAGTGGATATGGGCTAAAATATCGTCCATTAAAAAAAACGATGTTATCGGTGAAATATCACTGATAATATCAATATTTAAGACTGTGGGTACACTTAAAGCTAAGCTAGTTCCGAAACCTTATTTCAATAAATAAAAAAATAAAAAAGTGCAAAGAGAAAAGAAAATACAAGAAGTGAACCATAATCTGTAATAGACAAATTGACAAGAGAAAGAGTGGAACCATATACGAATAAATAAACATAAGCACACTACTACAAAAAAGGAAAAAGACGACGGAAATTCACCATCGTGTATTCGGTTTTCAAACCGTCGTGAAATCGGCCGACATCTATTTGGGTGTCAAACTACGACGACTTTTCACTGTCGTTGTTTATCTGTAACGACGACGGTTTTTAAAGAAAATCGTCGTTGTTTAGAGGTAAAGATCGTTAATTATAGGAGAAAAGACGACTGTTTTTAATAAAACCGTCATGTATTGTATGTAAAGAGGACGATTCTTTATGAAAACCGTCATGGATTCTTTATAAACACGACGGTTGTTTTATAAAAACCGTCATCTTTAAATTCAATAGACGACCTTTTTAATAAAGGTCATCTTTACTTAACAATAGACGACCCTTTTTAAAAAAAAACCGTCATCTTTACTTCATAATAGACGATGGTTTTTATAAAAAGAGTCATCTTTACATATAACAGACGACGGTTTTTATAAAAAGCGTCATCTTTACATGTAATAGACGACGGTTTTTATAAAAAGTGTCATCTTTACATATAATAGACGACGGTTTGTATAAAAATCGTCATCTTTACATATAATAGACGACGGTTTTTTTATAAAAAGCGTCATCTTTACATGTAATAGACGACCCTTTTTTATAAAAATCGTCATCTTTACCTATAATAGACGACTCTTTTTTATAAAAACCATCGTTAATTATCTGTAAAGACCATGATTTATTATAAAAACCGTCGTCTAATAAGTTTCCAAACTGCTACATTTTAGTTCTTTTTGATTTCCTATGATGCTATACAACGATTTTAACTAGAAAATCAACCATAATGCTTTATTAATGAATATATACACTCAAAAATAGTTTCATTCATAAAACTTGAAGATTCAATAGTTATTACATAGTTAACCAATCTTTATTCTACAACAAACATAATTCCTAACAAGACCTACGTACTCCTAATCCAAGCATTCCTCATCCAAACATACAAATGATGCACAACTGAAGTCTCCTCCATCATCCCTGTAAATAAATCAAAATGACAAAGAGAGAAAAAAAAAGAAGAAGAAGCTAAGATTATAAATGAAAAATAAACATTCAGAGATCAAGTAACGTGACAAAAATATTCAATGGTTATAAATGAAAAATCAGGATTTAACGGTTATTTTAACTCCGATTTTGATGATTTTTTACCGCTACACTCCTTGACCCTATATGAATACAATGATTGAATTTGATCTTCAATTTAAAATATTTACACTAGTGGATACCATAAAATCTTATGTTATATTTAACGAAAGTATAAATAAACTCTTAATTGTTAGTGAATATATTGTTTTATGGCATACGCATCCTAAGAAACTAGTTTCAATCATCTAACCATCAAACTTGTTTGTTTATACTTCGAGATCATATACGCCAAAAATCGGAAAAAATAAACATTAAGAGATTAAGTGATGCAACAAAAAATTTCAACAGTTATAAAAGAAAATCATGATTTTACGATTATTTTAACTCCGATTTTGATGATTTTTTACGGCTACACTCATTGACCCTATATGAACACAATGACTGAATTTGATCTTCAAATTAAAATATTTACACTAGTGGATACCTCAAAATCTTATGTTATATTTAACGAAAGTACAATAAACTCTTAATTGTTTGTGAATATATTGTTTGGATCGCATACGCATTCTAAGAAACTAGTTTCAATGATCTAACCGTCAAACTTGTTTGTTTATACTTCGAGATCATATATGCCAAAAATCGGAAAAAATAAACATTCAGATATCAAGTAACAGGACAAAAAAATTTAACGGTTATAAATGAAAAATCATGATTTAACGGTTATTTTAACTCCGATTTTGATGATTTTTTACCGCTACACTCCTTGGCCCTATATGAATACAATGACTGAATTTGATCTTCAAATTAAAATATTTACACTAGTGGATACCACAAAATCTTATGTTCTATTTAACGAAAGTATAAATAAACTCTTAATTGTTAGTGAATATATTCTTTTGATGGCATACGCATTTTAAGAAACTAGTTTCAACGATCCAACCGTCACACTTGTTTGTTTATACTTCGAGATCATATACACCAAAAATCGGAAAAAATAGACATTCAGAGATCAAGTAACGGGACAAAAAATTTCAACAGTTATAAATGAAAAATAATGATTTAACGGTTATTTTAACCCGATTTTGATGATTTTTTACCGCTACACTCCTTGACCCTATCTGAATACAATGATAGAATTTGATCTTCAATTTAAAATACTTACAAGTGGATACCACAAAATCTTATCTTATATTTAACAAAAGTATAAATAAACTTTTAATTGTTAGTGAATATATGGTTTTGATGGCATACGCATTCTAAGAAACTAGTTTCAATGATCTAACCGTCAAACTTGTTTGTTTATACTTCAAGATAATATACGCCAACAATTGGAAAAAATAAACATTCAAAGATCAAGTAACAGGACAACAAATTTCAACGGTTATAAATGAAAAATCATGATTTAACGTTTATTTTAACTCCGATTTTGATGATTTTTTACGCTACACTCCATGACCCTATATGAATACAATGACTGAATTTGATCTTCAATTTAAAATATTTACACCAGTGGATACCACAAAATCTTATGTTATATTTAACGAAAGTATAAATAAACTCTTAATTGTTAGTGAATATATTGTTTTGATGGCATACGCATCCTAAGAAACTAGTTTCAACGATCCAACCGTCAAACTTGTTTGTTTATACTTCGAGATCACATACACCAAAAATCGGAAAAAATAAACATTCAGAGATCAAGTAACGGGACAAAAAATTTCAACGGTTATAAATGAAAATTCATGATTTAACGGTTATTTTAACTCCGATTTTGATGATTTTTTACCGCTACAATCCTTGACCATATATGAATACAATGATTGAATTTGATCTTCAATTTAAAATATTTACAATAGTGGATACCACAAAATCTTATGTTATATTTAACGAAAGTATAAATAAACTCTTAATTGTTAGTGAATATATTGTTTGGATGGCATACGCATTCTAAGAAACTAGTTTCAACGATCCAACCGTCAAACTTGTTTGTTTATACTTCGAGATCATATACACCAAAAATCGGAAAAAATAAACATTCAGAGATCAAGTAACGGGACAAAAAATTTCGACGGTTATAAATGAAAATTCATTATTTAACGGTCATTTTAACTCCGATTTTGATGATTTTTTACCGCTACAATCCTTGACCATATATGAATACAATGATTGAATTTGATCTTCAATTTAAAA